GCCAGGTCCCAGGGTGCAGCTCTCTGGTCCCCATTCCGTGGCGCTCTCAGGCTTCCATTCCATCTCCCTCACCTCCACCATGACGCAACCCCAGCTGACAGGGCCCTGGCCCTAGGGTGGGCCTGGTTCCAGGCCTCCCAGGAGGTGGGTAGGGACGCTGGCCTGGCTCTCCTTTCTGACTTTGACATCACTCTCGGTTTCTTATAACTGAGGATTTATTTCTCTTTCTAGGTCTAAGCCTAATAATCATGTTCTGATTTGCATTATTTCATTTAAAAACAGATTCTGTCCGGGTGCGGTGGCTCACGCCTGTAATCCCAGCACTCTGGGAGGCCAAGGCAGGTGGATCACAAGGTCAGGAGTTCAAGAACAGCTTGGCCAAAATGGTGAAACTCCATCTCTACAAAAAAAAAAAAAAAAAAAAAAAAAAAACTTTTAGGTGGCAAAAAGCCAAGCAGGCAGGGCTGGATTACATAGCAGAGTGCATGAGTCTCTGTGATTAACCAAGGAGACACTGCTACATTAAAACAAGAACAAGGCCTCACAGTGAAGAAGAAATAGTCCAAACTGTCTTCATAAAATGAGTGACTCTGGCTGTCAGCTCATCTTGTAGCTCTCTGTTTGCACGTATTTGAAATCACCTAGAAAAGCATTTGAAAAAAAAAATTTTTTTAATGATCCTTTTGTACCTAAAGGCTGAGAATATAGAGTGGTTTGCTCTGGTTGGCACAACTCCCAGAGCTGCAAATAGACCTGGAGAATGTCCAGTGGTAACTCCGAGATGAGAAGTAGCTAGAAAGATGGGTCCAAAAGTGAAGGACGTAATCTTGAAGGGTCTGGCTGGGAGAAAAGGAGGCCTCGCCAAACAGTCAGACCATGAGTGGCACAGATCATAAGCATGGATTTTTTTTTCTTCACCATATTCTGAAATTCTTAAGCGAGGGAAGTTTGGATCAAATGAAAGGAAATGCCATTTCATGCCACAGATAATAAAAGTAAAGAAACTTGTTACTTTCAACGTGTGGTTCTGGCAGAAGATATAAATAGATCAGAAAGGATCTAAAGGACTTACAGCTGCCAGGAGAAGCTTGGACCTACCTGATCTTAAGGCACAGAAAACAATGCTCCTTCCAATGGACGCCTTTGGGGCCATTGCTGCCAGGAGAGCCCAAATTCAGGGCCAGGCTAAGAATTGCCATGGATTTGGCTGTGGGGACTTCTGATTTGCTCCTGTCCTTCCACCCCGCTTCCTTCCTTTGCTGGAGACTCCATCAGTGCTTTGGCTTCTAACTAGTGATGTGAGATCAGAGTCTGTTTAAATGTAGAATGTTATCTAGGGAGGAGGGGAAACATGCCTAATACCACTTCATTCATTCATTCATTCATTCATTCATTCAATGACTATTACTAAGCACCTACCATGTGCCAAGTGATTGGAATGAAATAAAAAGCTGTCGTGATCCTCAGGGGCATGAACAATAAACACAACAGATGAATACGTGATTATGAACTATGGCAATGCTACAAGGCAAGGAACACCAAGCTCTGAGAAGAAATAAATATGTGTGTGTGTGTGTGTGTGTGTGTGTGCAGCAGGACTGGGAGGAGACTTGAAAAAGCTGGCCGGAAAAAGACTCCCTGAAAAGTAAGTAGTTAGTCTGGGAATTAAAGGGTGAGTGGGACCCAGCCATGCCCAGTGTGGTGAGAATATTCCCAGCAGAGTAAAAATGCGTACGAGGGTCCCAGGGTGGGAAAGAGCTTGGTGTGTTCAAGAGGCAAAGAGGCCTATGTGGCTGAACTTGGAGCAGAGGTGGGTGGGGAAGTGCAGGTGGGAGTGGAGAGTCAGGCAGAGGCCAGGTCACACAGGAATAGGACCTTGTAGGTCACAGCAGGGAATTCAGATGTCAGATGAAATCCAAATGAAACGAGAGAGTTTAAGTCATTTATTCTTTTAAAAAATCAAGTGATACATCTTTTAAAGTAATTGGATGTGATTGGCTGTCTCCATTAGGACTGTGAAAATGTGTTGCACTCTTGTGTGCTATTCATTACTCAAATATATAACGTATTTTCCTCTGGCTGTGGTAGGGATCTCCGATAACTGGAAAAGTCTTGAGGATGGGGGACCAATTGGTAAATGGGCAGGGACTTGATAATTACTTGCACTCCGAATCTACATCCATCATCTCACTGTCCAATGAGCTGAGAGCTGGGGATGCCCATTAGGCCTTCAGCAGAGCTTTTAGGTGTCTATTTTCTCTCTGTGCTGTCTTCCCTCTGCTTCTCTGACTCTGTTCTCCACTCTTGTATGGTGCTTGAGATCCCCTCACAAATAAATTACTTTCATTGAAATCCATGTCTCATGGGCTGCTTCTGGGGAGACCCAACCTGATTATTAGCTTGAGTTTAAACAAAGAAGAAAAGAGCCAGCTTGCTGAGCTTTCTGGCATCCATTAAACCTAGGCTTTCTTCTCCTAAAAGGGGGGGGGGTGATATTATCAAATCCTAACTCTGAAGCAGCTGGGAAGCTGTGACAAACTTGGAGTCAAAGGCGACCATATCGTTTCTAGGTACCACATTCTATTGGCTCCATTAACAGCTGGTGAAATGCAAGTGAAGATTGAGAAGGTCAGGCTGTAAAAAGAATATTTAGATATGCTGTTGAATAGATGTGAATTAGATAAACTGGTGGGAAAGAGGAAAAGAATACTAATGGAATCGTTCAAAAGGAAATCTGAGTCAGGCAGCCGTAATAAATGACTTGTAATAAATTTGTCAGAAGTTTTCATATTTCTCCTAACCTCCTTGACCAAAGATCTCTTTTGATTTATGACAGCTTGCAATCCAAATAATCAAACGTTCACAAGCTAACCAAGAACAGAATCTTTGGTGCAGAATAGGAATAAATACTTCTTAATTTAATAAATCTTCTGACAACACCTTTTTATTCACATAATTGTAGGTGTTTTTTATTTTGTCTCATAATTAAGCTATCAAGATGTCGTTCTAGACCCAAAACTTTCTGATTCTCTTTATGGAGCTTTTAAAATCATGCAACAGAAAAACAGGATATAGTGTTTTGCTAGGGACAACCTTAACCAGGAGAAACAATTCGATGCAATGATTGGTTCTATAATTTTGAGGACTTCAACTGTGGGACCAAACCAAATACAAGAAACAAATATTAGACAAGAGACACATATGATGATGGAATCCTGGGAGGCTAAATTCAGCCAGAAAACTCTCTCCAGTGTCATCACTGAGTCTAACTCAAGGCCATATTACTAAGTTATGACAATGCTTATATGCTATGGCAAAATTTTATAGTGATGTCCATATGTTAATCTTTGAAACAAGTACATTCTTTTGTATGCATTATTAAGTGTTGTTCAAGCCCAACACATCACAGCAGGACTAGCTAGACTCAGGGCTGAAGGTGGAAGAAAAGAGGTACTGAAATAACGAAGGATAGAAGGAGTCCTTCTCAAATCAGCTCGAAGCCTAGGGGATCTCTTTAAATGCCTTTTGCTTCCATGGGCCAATGAAATTATGAAATCATAAAAAGAAAAAGGGAAGGGCTAACAAGGGCCAACAAAAGCAGGAAGTGACCTGCTAGTGATTTTCCAAAAGATGTACGCATGGCAGATAGCGAATGAACTCTAACATGGCTCATTCTTGCTTCTTTAGGTAGTTGACATATGATACCCATGGGAATTTAAATGATGAATGAAAGCATGTTTTAAATCAGTATGGGAATTTTTAAATTACTGGCATGTTTATGTTGTGTGAGACCCTTTTTACGTTGGGAGTAGCTGTGTTCTGCCAAATCACATGTCCTCCAAAAACCATGAACCCAGAATTTCAAATCAAGCTTTCAGAGAAGTCAGAATGCTTTCTTGTGAGAAACTGTGAATTCGAAAGTATGAGGGCGATTTTTTTTCCATACTTAGTGGAAAAAAAATTTGGCACCTAGGTCATGGGCACATCTGTCTTCTGGTTCTTTCCTTTTCTTAGTTTCAAGTCCTGAAGTAATTCAATTTAAAAACTTATTATAGTCCGAGACACATTAGAACTTTCAATGAGAAGTTAAATGTGACGCCATATTGATTTTATGGTCATGGTGAGGAAATTGGAGTTTTAAATTATATCTTCAGATTTGGTAAGTCGACTTCAGTATCAAGGAAGGAGAATGGCTTTACTTGTCCATTGTCGGAATCCTAGGATGGATTGCTGGACTCCAGGGAGCAGCAGCCCAGTGCATGGCTGGCTGCTGAGAAACCAGCTGAACCCCATGCTGACCAAATCATGCGGAGGAGCATAGACCAGGACAAACAAGACTCTAGGGCCAGATTCTTGGCCTGACTCTGCCTCTTCATGTGTGACCGCAAATACTCTTTATCTCTCTGGGCCTTGGTTGCTCATCTCAAAACTCCAGCCCTCATAGTTTATGAGTCTAGAAGCCATGGAGAAAGAAAATAAACAGGAGAAGCTTAAAGTATTAGGGGTCCCTATGAATGACCCTAAGCCTTGTTTCTTATAGAAACATATTTGCTGAGAAGAATTGACCTGAGTTGGTGGGTGAAGTACATTTTCCTTTTTATACGTTTTTGTTTGCTTATGTTGTCTACAATGAGAATGTCTTGTTATGACAAAAATGTATGGGTAGGGGCAGATAAAGTCAATACCAAGGAAAGACAAAAGCAAAGATCTGATCTCAGTCCAGGAGTATGAGATATTCCCTGGAAAGCATCTGTCTCATCTGCTTGGGTGTGTTTCCCTGGGTCAGACCCATATTTAGGATCCCGGGGTATCCAGCTTCTTCTAAGGGGTACCAGGTTATCAGTTCACCATCAGCGTGGGTGGGTGGACTCAGTGTCAGCTGGGACCTGTTGAGACTTTGTGTGCTTCTCTTGTCCCTGGGGCCAGATGAAACTTACATGGCGGGAAGAGCCTGGCAGTCTGGCGGGATTTACTCAGGAGAGCGTTGTGCTGTTTTTCAGCTCGCCCGTGCTTCGTGGGGGAATGGAGCCCCTGGAGTGGTTGTGCAGGCCAGTGCAAGCCTACAACCCGTGTGCGGCGGCGCTCGGTGCAGCAGGAGCCTCAGAACGGCGGGGCGCCCTGTCCACCCCTGGAAGAAAGAGCCGGCTGCCTGGAGTACTCCACCCCGCAGGGCCAGGACTGCGGGAACTCCTATGGTACTGACGTTTTCATGATTGCTGCCTCTGTTATCTGTGATGACTTTTTGACTACTTCATGCCATAAAAGGCCATCTGCTGTGCAGGGAAAGTTCCATGCACCACAGGGAGTGGGATGGGCCAGGGTGCCCAAAGTAGACAGGAAGCTCAGGAAATGCTTAATAAAGGAATTATGGCCAGCTGTGCAAACGCCTCCGTTTCCCTCACTTCCCTCGGTGTATTTTACAATCCGATGGCCCATTCTCACTGTGCATAGACTCAGCAATGAAATAAATCCCATGCTTGTGGTTTTGAGTGAACTCAAGCTGGTGATAAAGGACTTTAGATAGGATGGTGACATTTCACACAGTACAGTAAGTATCCAGGAAGGATAACACTATTTCACCTTCCACTGCAATTCCTGTTTATGCACATTCACATGTGTGAAAATCATGGAAAAATCACAAAATTCTAAACAATGATAAAATGATTCTGTTTTATTATTTTATTATTTTTATTATATTTTTTCCATGATTCCTTTTACCTGCCTCTCTCTCAAGACTGGATCGGAGCTAATGTGATTTGAAAAGATCACTCTGGTTTTGGAGTGGCCAATGGAGAGGACAGGAATCGGCTCATTAATGAGCTGAGGATCATACAAGGCTCACAGAGAAATAATGAAAAAGCTCATGTGTTGATCTGCACTGACTCCGATAGGGCAAAACACTGACTTCTCAGGACAGCAAAAACCATATGTTTTTCATAGGAACATGGAAATCTAATGTCAACACGATCCTTGTCAAGCCATTTTGTTCCTTCTTTTCTTCCACACACGAATATTTATTGAGCATCTACTTGATGCCAGGCACTGGGCTGGGTGCTGGGGTCACAATGGTGAGAAAAGTTGATGTGGAGCCAGTTGTCAGGTAGATCATAGTCTAGTGAGAGGGGTGCAGTGATCAGATAATCTCAGGGAATTAATGGATTACAGCTGCAGCAATTGGTGCACCTGGTAGCAAACAAGTGAGGCACATGGAGCTATCAGCAGTGTAATCAGGTGATTCCCCTTGGTCTTGAGGGAGGAGGAGGAGGAGGGGCTTCCCCAGAGTTGGAGGTGAGATATGTATAGCTGCCTAGGCAGACTGGTGTGGTTAAACTGATGGCCAGGTGTAGAGGGTTTGAGGGATTTGAAAGCTGATCAAGGGAAAAGCTATAGCCACAAGAGGCAGTAGTACGGCAAGCTTTACTGGGCAATGCTTGGACAGGGCTGCACGAGAGGGGACATCCTCACAGCATGAGACTGCCCAGAGGCTTATGGTGGCTGGGGAAGGGGACCCATCTAGAAGGGGAGGAGGACACAGCAACTCCTGAGGGAGAGGGAGAGTGGAAAGGGGCTTTAAATGTCAAGGTGAGGTCATCTTAAATGTCAAGGTGAGGTCATCCAGTGGCTCATTTGGGAGTCTCTGGGTCAGAGACCTCAGAAGGGCAGCAGCATCTTGGGGGCTGATAACACAAAGCCTATCGGTGGCCAACAGATGCTGGGCATAGTTTCACAGGTGTGCAGGCAGGCAGGCCCTAAGTGGCTGAACACCTGCCTGTTTGGCTATTTAAAAACAGTTCCATGTGTCAGAAAATTGAGTTTGGTGCCAGCATGTTTTTTAACTGAAGGGTCTTCACCTAGGGTGAGGAATAAGCATCATTGGCTCGTTTATGTAACATAGGGAAGCACAAGGCCCGCTTGAGAGGGCAAAGGAAGGTGGGCGTGTGGGGTGCACAGAGAACACCCTATTTGGGATTCTGGCCTTTATCTTAAGGGTCATTAGGGTGATCTTTTCTGCACAGGAAAAGATCGCTCTGGTAGTGGAGTGGCGAATGGAGGGGTCAGAGTGTTGTTACCCCATTGATACGGTGGTCATATTAAGGTCACAGGGAGATCAGTGCTTCAGACGTGGTTGCTCACAGACACAGTCATAGAACAAAACTACACACAGTCATGCTCTCTGTAGAGATACCACACAAACAGCTCCAGGAGGAAGACGTTGTAGGACGTTACAGATGTTTCTGGTGGTTCTTAAAAGCTAGCACCAACCTATCAGGAAAAGCAGCTGTCTACTCCTGTGCCAGCCTGGCTGCTAGGTTTCTTCAGCACATCAAACTCTTCAATGGGGATCCAGGCTGTCCCACTCCCCTTCCCAGCCCTAATCTCTACACCGGGACAATGCAGGAAGTTGTTAGTGACTGTGTCTTAACACCAGCAAGACATATCTGCACCCAACAGCCTCCTTCCCTATTATCATAAAATAAAAGTTGTCAGCTTGGGAAGAGAGGAGAACTCTCTACTTGGGGTAGAGCTGCTGGCATTTGCAGTCCTGACTTTGGTCCCCAGCATCCCCTCCTGTTGGAGATGTCTTGGTGATGTTTACTCCTGTTACAAGCTAGTCGGGGAAGACAGAACCCTCCAACAACCCTGTGTGGTGATTCCTAACCAGTGGTCCTGGACCAGCAGCCTCAGGATCTGGTTCCTCAGCCCTGCCCGGAACCATGGGATCATAATCCCTGTGTGCAGGCCCAGCACTCTGCATCGCAGCAAGGCCTGTAGGGGCTGTGATGATCACTGGAGTTTGAGAGCTGTTGCTGTGGCCCAAGTGTGACCAACACCCTGTCATAGCTGAGTCACCTTAGCAGCACTTTCCGGAAGGCAGAAGTTCCCAAAACACATCCTCTTTTGTTAGAATAGTTGTGCAAAGAAGGGGATTATTAAGAAAATATGGGGTATATCAGACAGTTTTCTCTACCAAAGAAACTTCCAGAGCCTTTCTTATGCGGATCTGCATTTTCATTCTGTAAGAGAGAAAGAGGATTTCCAGTGTTTTCCCACTTAATTTGATTATATGACCCCTTTTTCCACAGAGCGTCCCCCTACAATCATTCATGTGCTGTGGAATGCTCTTTGGAAAATCATGGCTTACTAGAGGAAAACAAGAGGGACATGAGAGGCAACCATGTGAACATTCAATTTGGTGGATTCTCCAGGGGTCCCAGGCCCTGTTTCACTCCAGCCACTGTGCATTCACTTATGTCTCTCCTCTCCTCCCCTCCCCTCCCCTCCACTCCCCTCCCCTCTCTTTTCCTCTCACCTATCTCCTCTCTCCTCTTCTCTTTTCCGGTGGAGTTTTGCTCTTGCTGCCCAGTGTGGAGTGCAATGGCACGATCTTGGTTAACCGCAACCTCTGCCTCCCGGGTTCAAGCAATTCTCCTGCCTCAGCCTCCTGAATAGCTGGGATTACAGGTATGCACCACCACACCTGCCTGATTTTGTATTTTTAGTAGAGACGGGGTTTCTCCACGTTGGTCAGGCCGGTCTCAAACTCCTGACCTCAGGTGATCCACCTGCCTTGGTATCTCAAAGTGCTAGGATTATAGGTATGAGCCACTGCTCCTGGACTTCTGTGTTTCATTAATTTAACACTCACTGAGCACCTCCTGTGTGTGCCAACACTGTGCTAGGTTTTAGAGATCTAAACTTGATTAACAAACATGTCACAGCTAAACAGAACTCACAGTGGTGAGCTCTGGGATGAAAGGAAATGCAGGTTGGTGTGGGAGCATGGAGAAGAAGCCCCCACTCAACCTGGAGGTTCTTATCCTGCTGCATGGTCACCTGTGTCCCTGTTACTGCCTCCCACCCCCACCAGACTTCCTGTTCGGAGAGCAGGCACCTTTGTGGGTGGCACACGAATCCCTCACTTTTGTACAGCAAAGAGATTTTATAGATACGATTGGTTCAGCCTTCATAGCAACCCTGTGAAGGAGTGTATTCATTTTCTATGGTGGCTGCCACGAATTAGTCCAAACTTAGTGGCTCAAAACAACACAGATTTATTATCCTACAGTTCTGAAGGTCAGAATCCGACATGGGTTTCCCCGGGTAAAAACGAAGGCGTCAGCTGAGCTGCAGGCCTTTCTGGAGGCTCTAGGGGAGACTCCTCCTCCTTGCCTTTTCCACCTTCCAGGGGCCGCCCACATCCTTTCCCCATTTCCACTGCCTCCATCCTCAGAGCCAGCAACACTGCATTATTTATCTGTGTCTTATTTTCATTGCCACATCTTTTTTTTTTTTTTTTTTTTTTTTTTTTTTGAGACAGAGTCTCGCTCTGTCGCCCAGGCTGGAGTGCAGTGGCGCCATCTCGGCTTACTGTAACCTCTGCCTCCCGGGTTCAAGTGATTCTCCTGCCTCAGCCTCCAGAGTAGCTGGGATTATAGGCATGCACCACCACACCCAGCTAATTTTTGTATTTTTAGTAGAGACTGGGTTTCACCATGTTAGCCAGGCTGGTCTTGAACTCCTAACCTCAGGTGATTCTCCCACCTCAGCCTCCCAAAGTGCTGGGATTATAGGCGTGAGCCACCACGTCCGGCCTAATTTTTGTATTTTTAGTAGAGACAGGCCACCATGTTGGTCAGGCTCTGACCAACTCTTTCTAAGGATCCTGTGATTACATTGGGTTCACCTGAATAACCCAGGCTACTCTCATTATTTTAAGGTCAGCTGAGCAGCAACCTTAATTCCACCCGTAACCTTGATTCCTTGTTCCCACATAATACAACATATTCACAGGTTCTGGGGATCAGGACACGGACATCTTTGGGGAACCACAGTTCTGCCTCCACAGAGAGGTAGGACAGTCATTCTCCTTGGTTTATACCTGAGGACATTGGAGTTCCAAAAAGTGACAGCTTGTGTGAAGGACTACGGATCTTAAACCTGGATCTTCTGGCTCTAAGTCCTATGGGATTTTCCCACCTCAATATTGTTTTGCGATTAACTGTTATCATTACAGCTAAAATTATAACTACAGATTCTTGTAACTAAGTAGAAATGTACAGGCTCGTCAAGCCAGTGAAGGAAGCATGATCCCTGAAGCTCTCTCATTAATGATCGAGTAGCTATTTCCTTTTCCTGTTTCAATTAATGCACAGCATGATATTTTTGTCATAAAAACAAATCTACAAAGCTGCATTACTGAATATGTTACACATAATTGACAATTGTTTATATATGTGTGTTTTGCTCCTAAAGGGAGATCGATATGCATTATTATAAACCATATGCTTCTAGGTAAATATTATTTGTCAGTTTTTCATTTTGCTCTCTTCTGCGCTGTATCTACAGACCAGTGATCCCATGCCTGCTTTGGTGACACACCATTGTGTCAGAGGGCGTTACAAAATTCTCAAAGCAAATTTAATTTACTTTCATGTTCAAAGTGAGTATATGCAGTGCCCAGCTTTTAGAAGTGGAAGTTGTTGCAAAACCAAACAATGGTAGGCCAATAGAATGCCAGAAACGTTGGCAGATTGCCTGTGAACAAATAATATATTGCATTTGAATACTGTTGCCAGGAAGGAGAACTTAGATTTATTGGGGGCCTTTGTCCCAGGGATGCTGGGTCACATGCCTCCGCACATTAGCAGAAGTGGGGCGGGAGGCACAAACAATTTCTAAGCTATTTCATTACTTAAGTGATGAAAATTGAATTTGGGGGGGTGTATTAAAAAGTGGTGCTGGTTCAGGGACCTCCAGGCAGTCTGGCTCCTGTGAGGAGAGGGATCTTGGCAGTAGAATGTGCCACCAAACAAGCCCAAGGCCTGGGTACCTGGCTTGCTCTTAGGATGCGCCCTAATCCCAAGAGCATGAAACTGAGCTTGATAGAAAGTCTTAAAAAACAAAACAAAACAAAACAAAACCAATGGGCCAAGCTCAGTGGCACATGCCTGTAATCCTAGCACTTTGGAAGGCTAAGGCAGAAGGATTGCTTGGGTCCCAGAAGACCAGCCTGGTGGCAGATGGAGACCCCATCTCTATCACAAACAGAAACAAAAAAGGAAAAAAATGAAAACCCCGAAGTACCCCGAAGAAAATAGCTTCTGTGCAGGGTCCTTGCTTAGTCACCTACTATTTCTTTTCCTTGCATTTAACCTCAGTGAGCCTTAGATTTCTGATGAATAAAATTGGTATAACACCATTTTTATTAAAGTTGGTAATGTATGATGTGAAATTACTTTGTAAGTGAGCAGGCTAAACACATACCAGGGGCTATGGTACCAAGAGGGGTGACCCTGCACCCACTGTGTGCCCTTCCTGGTCCCCCATCTCTCTCATGGCCTGAGGGCACTCCAGGTACAAGGGGCTAAAAGTGTCTCTTTTGCTTTCTTTAATCTGACTTCACATACAGCATAGTGATTAGTGACAGAAAGGGAAAATAAAGCCGAATTGAAATAATTCATGGGAAAGATGCATACAGTACTGGAACTTTGTCATCTGTGTTATTATAGAGGCGGTGGAGTGCCGCCCTGGGAGCTGGATTTCGGGACATTGCCTGGCTGTGCTATATTTAGATGTGAGCCTTAAACACATTTCTTAATCTCTCTGTGCCACCATTTTCTCATCTGTGAAATGAAGATATAATAGGATCTATCTCAAGAGGCTTGTGAGAATTAAATGAATTAATACATGAAAAGTGACTTGGAGTTGTCCCTGGAAACTCTAACCGCTGTACTAACGAGGATGGCTTTTGTTATTATTATAGAACCTTTTCCAAGAATTTTGTATCAGAAACTAGAGTCATATATTTATGTTTTTCCTCTACTTCATAACCTCTTTTTCTGAGCTATAAATTAAATACCTTGCTTTTAAACTTTTGTAATAAAGTTTAAAAGATAAATGCAGTACAACTTAGAATACATACATATTTGAGCTAAAGAATCTCGAAAAAATTACAGACTGACTTGTGTAGTGCTGCATGGATTTAGCAGTAAGTTTATTCTTCACTTAGTGAAGAAATACATACATGTGTCTGAAGAACAGAAATGAAAATGTATGGGAGAACTAAAATCCTTCAGATGTTTGTGTTTCTGATAATTAGGTCTGAGAGAAACTGAGAGGGATCCTGATATACACGAACTCACATGTTCTTTCTAATTCTGTCTGGAGATCTTAGAAATGCAAACGTGTTGGTCACATTTAGAAAACAATTAAACACGTCAGTGCAGCAAAAAAGAGCCACACAAGCTAGGACTCTAGAGTTCAGTCTAGATGTAGATAATTTTCAAACTGGAGAGATTAGGCACCAAACCACATGAGACAAGAACTCTTACAGCTCCTGGGAGCAAGTGACAACCTGGTATTAGGTAGCTGCTCTTGTCTTTTTTTTTTTTTTTTTTTTTTTTTTTTTTTTTTTTTGAGGCAGTCTTGCTCTGTCACCCAGGCTGGAGTGCAGTGGTGCAATCTTGGCTCACTGCAGCCCCTGCCTCCTGGGTTCAAGTGATTCTCCCAGCTTCCTGAGTAGAGGGTTTATGGCTGAATGCCATCATGTCTGGCTAATTTTTGTATAATTTTTAGTAGAGACAGTGTTTCACCATGTTGGCCAGGCTGGTCTTGATCTCCTGGCCTCAAGTGATCTGCCCGCCTCAGCCTCCCAAAGTGCTGGGATTACAGGCACGAGCCTCTTATCTTAAACTGCCTAGTAATATAAAAATAACTCCTCATCAAAAAAAAAAAATCTCCTCATTAAGAAAATCTTAAAAAGAATTAAGGCTTGTCATCTTGATACAGAAAAGAGTCACGTAAAATCAACACGTAGGCTTGAAGCATCTGCTTTGCAACCGGTACCCTCACATTGTTGAGCTCATGTTGATGATGATGTTGGTATCTCACAAGTTGATGTCAGCTTATATCTACCCTTCCTGGAATTGCCCAGTTTCTGAAACAAAGGTAGGAAGGACTGTCGAGCCATCTTGGCTGCTAGGCTCAGTATAGGAACAGAAGACTACAGGGAAGTAGGGGCTGTGTGTCTTGGCTGCAAGCCCATGACTTCTTTCATTCACTCACTGGCCCATTCATTCCTTGCACAAGTATTTATTGAGCGTGTAAATGTATGAAGCTATAGTGATAGCAAAACCCTGCCTTCCTCAAGATGACAGCAGAATTGATCCAGGAGACTGGAACCTGTAGGTGTTATTATAGCAACAAATGCCTCCCTAGACTTGGTGATGAGGTAGGGAGGAGACACACAAACACAGTAGAGTTAAAGTGAGCAGAGGCAGGAGGAAGGAGTCCCGGTACCCTTTTTTTTTTCTCTGACCCAGAGCATCAGAGTTGGAGTAGGGTTGTGGGGAGGAAGAGGGAAAAGAAGGGGACCACTAAAGACTTCCTTTCCCTGAGCTGGTGTGGGGATGATGCTGTGCAGGCTGGTACTGGGCAGCTACATTGGTACTATGTGGTGGGCAGAGCTTCCATGAACTTTTCCTGCTGTGGTTACCTGGGTTTGGGAAAGACTCACCTTCTTTCCTACTCTTCTTTTTCTGCCTTTTTTCTTTTTTTGAGACAGTGTTTCACTCTTTTGCCTAGGCTGGAGTGCAAGGGTGCCATCTCAGCTCATTGCAATCTCTGCCTCCCTGGTTCAAGCAATTCTCCTGCCTCAGACTCTCAAGTAGCTGGTATTACAGGTGCTTGCCACCATGCCCAGCTAATTTTTGTATTTTTAGTAGAGATGGGGTTTCACCATGTTGGCCAGGCTGGTCTTAAACTCATGACCTCAGGTGATCCACCCGCCACGGCCTCCCAAAGTGCTGGGATTACAAGCATGAGCCACTGCGCCTGGCTTTATTCCTTTCTCATTTTTCCTCCCCCTTGGTTGTCTGTTTTCTCTCCTTCTATCCCCTTTTACTCTCTTTTATCTTTTCTCTCTCTTTTCTTCTTTCTTTGTTTCCTTTCTATTATTTTACTATCTTACTTTTCTTTCCCTTTCTTTCTCCATTTCTCTTCCTTTCATTTTTAAAGACCTCCTCTTCTCCTCATAATATCTTTTATCTCACTTTTCCCCTAATTCCCCTTCTCACCCCCAACTCTTTTATTTCTTTCTGGTTTTTCCTCCAGGCCCTTCTCTTTCTTCTCACAGTTTTATTACTGCAGACAAATGTGCTTGTCGAAGGTCTGCCTGTCCCCTCCCTACCCATCTGTGTGCACACATATCTTTATCAAATTTGTAACTTAGCCTCATTTCACACCTTGATGGTGGACCCCAGCCCTGTGAATTTAGAAATGGGGACCTTTAGACAGGTACAAAACCAAGGTTGGGAAACAATGCTCTGAGTACTTTGGCTCCCTGTCTTCAACAGAATTCTCCCTTTTCCAGTTCCTGCTTTTATAACTACCTCTGCATTCAACAAGGAGAGAACACGACAAGCTGTGTCTCCACGCTGGTCTACACACACAGAGGATGCTGGGTAAATTCATGTTTTTATTTTTTTATCATGTTTTTCCAGTTATACAGTCAAGTCCGTGCAAGAGAGTCAACTTGGTTTATATCTTCTTCTGTTACTTGCTCTTTGACTTCGGCTAAAATATGACTTTTCATCAGAGTTGGGAAAATACTTGCCCCCTCCTGATTTTTGTGGGGCTATATAGATGTATATCTACCTCTCAGGTCCAATCTCCAACAAGAAACAAACTATATACAGATGAGATTATGTTATGATCTTATTTTACCAATCATGCGAAGGGTGCTTCTCTTACAGTCTTTATGGACCTTAGACTTCAGCACCACCTCTCTTTGGTAAATTTGAAAGTGACACACACTTCAACTCAGAGATTTCTTATGGAAACCTATTGGCACAGGCTGGAAGTACCTTCATGCTCAGCTGAAGTCCATTCTTTTGCCGTCAGATAAGTGCTACCAGACAGCTGCACACTCAGGTCCTCACACTGCCCTCATTAGAATAACACCTTGGACAACTTGTTCCACCTCAGTTTTTTCTTCCTAAAAAATGAGACTGGTAATAACCTACCACATGAGGTTGGTCTGTGCATTTAATGAGAACATAGCATTGAAGAGATGCCTGAGGCTGGGCCTGGTGACTCACACCTGTAATCCCAGTGCTTTGGGAGGCTGAGGCAGGAGGATTGCTTGAGCCCAGGAGTTTGAGATCAGCCAGGGCAACATAGTGAGAAACCCATCTCTATGAAAAATAAATAATAATAATAAAAAGAGCTGTCTGGGCTTAGCTGTCTGAAATTGATTGAAGCCACATTGTAGAATTTCTTACCTCAATAACTAAAGGTACCTTTAGTGACTAATTAGCTGTACCTATCATTGTTAAAGATCTTTAAAGCAGATTCTCTAAACACTTCCCATTTAACCCATTGCAACTGATAATTTTGTGAGTAAGAAATCAGACCATGGAACTGACAATGCAACAAGTTTCTGCTACAATACTCAGAGTTTTTACTATGTCCTGTTTCCTTAAATAATTGGAAAACTGCATTGAAGTACAAATTTCTAAAATATTCCTCACGTCTGGATGCTCCCCTGTGGCTTTCAGTGTCTAGTCACATGTAATGTTAGAGTTTTTCACAGCTCAATTTAAGGTGACACTAACTTCTGTCAGAAAAGTATGTCTCAACCTCCCACTTCTGCTTTCACCTGTGATGCCCAATGTAACTGTGATGATTGACTTCAAGTCAAAGCGCATCATCATTACTTCAGACCATGCAAGTGAGGTGGGTGGAGAGGGTGGGGAAGATCCTGGGTACTTTGGTGGGGCAGAACAGCAGTGGTGCTTGCCTACGTGTCAAGGGCTAGCCCTCCTGGGCTCGTTTTAGGGTTCTTGGGCTCAAGCAATTGCTTGTTTAATTTATAGAATTCCTTAAGGTCAGCAAAATTACCAAGGGATGGGTTTCTACAAAAACCTGGACTTTGGGGCACAATTTAGTAATCTGATTAGACAGGATACAGGAGATCCAAGCTTCTGCACATTTATATTGCCCAGAGAGCTCAATGAAAAATGGCACAAAGGTTCTCTGTGTTTGTCAGTAGTATTTCACCACAGTTCAGGGAATGACAAACTCCAAAGGTATTCTGTAATTGACACATAACTTGTGAAGATGCTCTCACTACCTGCTCCAGTTGGCCAAATGCCCTTAGAGGTGACAGGCTTCCCAAGGCTTTCTACAGTGTTAGGCCACTGCTCATTATAGCAAGTGTCATTGTTACTTCTTTTGCTCTAGATACTGTATGGAGTTTAAGACAGAGTCCTTGACCCCTCATTGTGCTCTGGAAAACCGGCCCCTGACTAGATGGATGCAGTATCTCCGAGAGGGATACACGGTGTGTGTGGACTGTCAGCCTCCAGCTATGAACTCTGTGAGCCTCCGTTGTTCTGGAGATGGCCTCGACTCTGATGGGTAAGGAGGAAAATTAACTGAAGTACTTTTCTTGTCACTCATTCTGAGAGATCTGTCCTCTCCATGTCTGGAACAGCGGACCAATATGCAACATATCAAGGCATGATTTAGGAAGTCAAAACAGTAGGTGGGGAGGACCATCCTTCTGGCACCCCCACTATGGAACCCAAAGGCCCTATACACTGGCAGTGAACATGGGTTCATTTGGATACTGGGGGCCGGGAGTGGCGGTAATCCCAGCACTTTGGGAGGCTGAGGCAGGTGGACTGCTTGAGCTCAGGAGTTCAAAACCAGCCTGAGCAACATGGTGAAACTCCATCTCTACAAAAAATACAAAAATTAGCTAGGCATGGTGGCACATGCCTGTAGTTTCAGGTACTGGGGAGGCTGAGGCAGGAGGCAGAGGTTACAGTGATCTGAGATCCCACCACGGCACTCTGGCATGGGTGAAAGAGCCAGACCCTCTCCCCAGAAAAAAAGAAAAAGGGATATTGGAGTTCAGAACCGGTCCCAAATGATCACCAAAAACCTGATCACCCAAAGTGGTGTTCTGAAGATCACTAGAATCAGAATCTCATGATTCTGAACCTCATTTCCAACTAACTTAATCAGACTCTGGGGATTTTTTTTTTTTTTTTTTTTGAGACGGAGTTTCACTCTTGTTACCCAGGCTGGAGTGCAATGGCATGATCTCGGCTCACTGCAACTTTCGCCTCCTGGGTTCAGGCAATTCTCCTGCCTCAGCCTCCTGAGTAGCTGGGATTACAGGCATGCGCCACCATGCCCAGCTAATTTTTTGCATTTTTAGTAGAGACGGGGTTTCACCGTGTTGACCAGGATGGTCTCAATCTCTTGACCTCGTGATCCACCCGCCTCGGCCTCCCAAAGTGCTGGGATTACAGGCGTGAGCCACCGCGCCCGGCCTTTTTTTTTTTTTTTTTTTTTTTTGAGATGGAGTCTCGCTCTGTCGCTGAGTGGCGGTAGGTTTTTAATAATGTCTTAGGTCAGGAGCCAGAAAACTTTTTCTGTAAAGGGCCAGAGCATAGATATTTTTGGCTTTTCAGGCTGTGCGGTCTCTGTGACAACTCCTCAACTCTAATTTTGTAGCAGGAAAATAGCCACACACATGCAAACATTGGCTTTGTTCTAACAAAACTATCTATGGACTCTAAAATTGGAATTTCATGTAATTTTCCTGTGTCATAAAATACCACCATTGTTTTGATTTTAACACTTTAAAACATAGAAATTAGTCTTAACTCACAATCCAGATGCAAAGAAAGGGAAGGCTGGCTTTGGCCTCTACGGGGTCCTAGTTTGGGGACTCCTGCCCAGGTAATTCATCCCCACAGTGAAGTTTCAGAACTGTTGCTGAATGGGGCTTCTTCATAAAACCCTGGCTGAGACAGTGGTGGGCTCATCTCTACAGTGTAATAATCTTATATACATCTATAGATTTCTCTGAAAGAACTGACTCCAAAAATATTTTACCACCACGCACATGTATCCCAGTTCTGCATTTATTTAGTGTTTAAATTTGATGACACTCTTCAAAACTAAGAGAAGAGTCAACTTTGTGATGAGCAACTATTGGGCAAAGACTCTTTTAGGTCACACACAGATTCTGGTTTTCAGTATGTCAGGTGGAACTGGTAGAAATACAGATTAAAAAGTTAAATATGGGCCTTTCCAGTCAATTATTATTACTGTAGAATGTTTTCATATTTAATAACTTGAATTTATGTTTATTAGTCACTAGTGCCTTGTGGCCTCCATTGAGCATACCATGTGAACAATAAAGTGAGTAAGGAATTTATATCAAATAGAAAATATTTACGTAATATTTTCCAGAATATCTCATCCATGTTTTGATTTTAAATGATTTATAATTTAATTTGTATCCATAAAGTATTTAAACCCTGGCTGAGGTAGCAGTGACCTTAAAAATAATAATTTTAATAATCTGGCTTTGCTCTTTTCGGTTCCCTTGTTGTTGTTGTTTTTTTTTTTTTAATTATAAAATCAGAGTTGGAAAGCATTAAAAGAGATCATTTGGTTCAGACCCCCAATTAAAATATACATGGAACAGTCAGTCATTTTCCTTTATGCAGCACTTGTACTCAGAGAGAGGGGGAAAAGCAAATACAGTAACCACAAGCTACTCTCTTAACATGAAGGTGTTCTAAAGTAGCGATTAATTAAAACTTGCTTTGACAGAAACTAAAGAAGGGAAACTCTGTTTGTGATCATTAAAAAAAAAAAAAAAAAAAAAAAATTGAGGAACTGGGTGTGCTGGGTCATGACTCTAATCCCAGCATAAGCCAGGAGGCCCAGGCAGGAGGATAACCTTGCACCCAGGAGTTTGAGACCAGCTGGGCAATGTAGTGAAACTCCATCTCTACAAATAATTTTTCTTTATAAAAGTTAGCCAGACGTGGTGGCATGCACCTGTGGACCCAGCCATCTGGGAGGCTGGGTTGGAAAGATCACTTGAGGCCAAAAGTTCGAGGCTGCAGTGAGCCACGATCGTGCCACTGCACTACAGCCTAAATGGCAGAGGGAAAAAAAGAAAAGAGAAGAAAAAAAGAAGGAAGGAAGGAAGGAGGGAAAGAAATGTGACAACACAGAGTTTTCAAGTGCATTACAATTTTTTTTTGAGACAGGATTTCACTCTGTCACCCAGGCTGAAGTGCAGAGGTGAGATCATGACTCACTGTAGCCTCCAACTCCTGGCAATCCCCCTACCCCAGCCTCCCAAGACCGTAGGCGGGTGCCACCATGTCTGGCTAATTAAAAATAATTTTTCGTTTTGTGTAGATGGGATCTATTTTTGTTTTGTATAAATGGGGTTAAATTTTTAAAAATGAATTTTTTTAACTTCAAGTTTTAATTCTGTAAATTAGACTTTTCTTTGGTATGCTTTTAGTGTAGCTAACATTTTCAAAATATCGTTTCAGAAATCAGACTCTCCATTGGCAAGCAATTGGTAATCCTCGATGTCAAGGAACTTGGAAAAAAGTTCGGCGAGTAGACCAGTGTTCTTGTCCAGCTGTTCACAGTTTTATTTTTATATAGATGGTGATGTAAATATTTCCAAATGCATTTGTAAACGTGCTAAATAATCTCAAGTCATGTTCAATGCTTCCTAAACCTTCAATTTTGGCCAAAGTCCCTGAACACATCATTGCCACACTCCTAAGCAGAGAAAGAAAATTTAGGGGCCAGTTCTCAGGGAACACAGGTCCTTTATTTTTATTTTAACTAAGTTGGAAGACTCATTCAAAAAGCTCCTGTGGTTTTATGTTCTTGACCTTTCATCTGGAGTCCTCTGATTCAGCATGTGGCCGATGAGACAAAGAATACATGTCTGTTTGCTAAAGTAAAATTACTGCAACTCAGTCCAATTATTAGTGATGGAAGTGTCATCTAAGGGGAGCTATGTTTTGAATCTTGCAGTCTTTCTTTTTATTTTATAATCTTTTAAAAGCTTCTCACTTAAAAAAAGTATACAGATATGAACACTCTGACACATATTTCCATACATTTACTATTCCATAAATTCTGCAATAATTTCAAGTAAATTATCACAAATGATTTTTCCACAGGACAAATTATTTAAAATTTTAGTAAGCATCCTGTAATGAAAAACCAACTATACTAAAAACATTTTTTGAAGAAGAATTTTTTTTTTCAGTTAAGCGAAAGGATCAAATGCTTATTCTAGGTCAAGGAGTTCTTTTAAATGTTATAATTTTCATGAAGAGAAATGTTGGCACCAATGAATGAAACAATTGCTTTCATTTCAAAAATTCGACGACCATTTGCATCTAAGATTATTTCCAAGGCTTAAAACCTTAAGCTGAATAACATAATCTTTCAGAGTCTAACTCCAAGTTTAGTTGACTTAAGCTCACTATTTGTTTCCTATCACATTCATTTTCTAATGTTTGGGGTGGATGGAATGTGGATTATGGAAGGCATAGACTTCATTACAGATGCTATGATCTCACACACACAAGTAAATATTAGTCTCCCTATTTTATGACTGGAAAATCAATGAACTAGAGGCAAAATGGCATGTTTAGGACCTGAGGTGACAAGCCATTCTGTAGTCAGCCACAGAGCCAAATTTGGACTTCTCATCCAGGACTCCATGAAAAGCCTGATTTTGCCAAACACTGTGTTGGAAAAGCTAAGCCCCTTTCATTTTTGAAGTAAATTTTAAATTCAGGATATTTAGAGAATTCAGTCTTGAGATGCAAACTATATGAAATGCCTTTGGTTTCAATTAAATAATATTTACTAACAAAATGATTTACTAAAATACGTATTTCTTGGTCCTTATCATGTAATGACAGATTGACAACAGCAATAGGGATGGGAATTTCCCCAATAATTAATAACACCAAGAGTAGCAATATTTCTGACTATATTTTCATTTAATTGTCAAAGTTATTTTTGTGGAAAGTTAAATTATTCAGAAATTAATAATAAAATATGTGAGTCTCATCAAGGTTGGCAACTTCAAGTCAGTATTAACCTTTTCATACTATTTCTAACATTTATAAAGCTAGATTTTTGAAGCTACGTCTGGGTAATTTCCAATGTTACTTAAAATTTTTATACCAGTAAATAAATGTTTTGTTCACATTTATAAAAGCTCTAGACTTATTTTACTAGAAAATAACCCAAATTTTCTGGATTAGTCAGAGAACGATAAAATTTCACCAAAAACAAAACAAAAAATCCTTCAGAATGATTAGGTATAGGTACAATAACCACTAACAGCAATAAAGCTATGATGCATTTATGGTTCCAATGTGTTGCAATATTGAACATAATTGAATTGTATAAAATAAATTTTTCACCTTTTGCATTTAATTTTTGGTGGATGACCAGTAATTGCTTTCTTACTGAGGTTAAATTTTTGTTATTTCTATTCTTGAGAAAATTTTATGGGCTAGAGGAGTTAACTGTTAACTAACAGTTTTGAAAAGTTTGTTATTAATTTCAGCAAAGCTCAAGGGAAAGACCTCAGAATTGAAACATGTAGTCCAAGTGATGAACAAAAACCCAAAAGTTTTTATTTTCAAAGTTAAAATCAAAGCATATAAGACTTCTTGGCATTCTTTTTTAATGAGTGCCTTAGTCTTAGGGCTCTATCCCCAGGCATTCTACAAAGATTTACGAACTCTAGAATCCCTTAATAGACTGATTTTCAAAAGTGCATGTGGAAAAGAATTTCAACAAAAATAAATACAGCCACCAAGAAAGAAGGGGAAAGAAGCTAGGGATAATGGCCATTTTTGAAAAGAAAAGTGAAAAATAAGCGAAGGGAAAAAAAGTAGAAAAAGGACTAAGGTGAACTATAATCACAGTACTCTTTTTAGAGTCTTGCTTTGGTTTTTATTCGAGAATGTTACAATTAAGCATAAACCGCAACAGCAATAAAGTGTTTGGTTCTCATCTGGCATAAAAATTTCAGTTAACTATCTTTTCTAGATATGCAAAAAAAAATGATGTTAATAAAACTGGTTCCTGCCCTCTAAGAATATTCTAGTGAAGTTTCATATAAACAACCACAGATTGGCTTAGAAAGCAAAGACCTGGGCCTTCTGAGGTCCAAGCAATCAGACGAAGAGCACCGTGAGGGATGAGGTCACTCTAGGTCAGGGTGACAGACACACGTTTACCCTCTCTCCTTCCTCAAATCCCACTCAAGTGACAGGATTCACAGAGGAGAATAAGTCCATAGCAAATGAGAAGTGGGGTGGGCAGAATGAGCCCACAGATTTTGAATTATTTTTTTGAAGATTGAAAGCAAATGAGAATATACTGATAGATGAACCAGAATAAAGAGGCCATACCCTTTAACACAGTTACAGAAGCTAGAATCAGAGGTGAGAGCCATTCTTGGTGGGGCGCGGCGGGGGGTGGGGGGAGCAAGCACCAAATGATGAATAAAAAGACTCTCAACCCTAGAGACAGATTTGTGAAACTGAAAATGAAGGATAAGGAAAAGACCATAAAACCTTCCAGAAAGAGAACAACATATTACCAGTAAAGGAATAGGAGGCCACATGAAGACAGCACTCTTCTCATCAGTATCAGTGCATGCTTAAACTCTAACAGAAGAAAGCCTCTAAGCTCTGAGGGAAAATGAATGTGAAACTAACATTCGATAGCAGCCATCACTAATAAAGTGTGAACGGAACATACATACTTTTAGAGGCACAAGGATCGGAAGCTTTATTAAAAGGTCCAAAGCAGGACATTCTGTTTTCCAGTTAAACATGGCAGGTTGGACACATATTTACATCTCAATTTCCAATAAAATTACAGTTAAGAGATTTTAAAAGCCACCCCCCCGCCCCACCAAAACAACAACAAAGTCCACATGAAATGAGAAGGAGGTCAGGAGAAAAAACACAGAAGAGATGGCCACAACATTTCAGGACCAGAAAAGAAGATGGCTATTAAAATCAGAAGAGAAAGCCAAGCACCTAGATCTACGGGTGAATTTGAGTAAGTGAGGTCATTTCTAGCACCCTGGAAAGGCTCTGGAATGGGAGGTTCCAGGTATTTCCTTCAATAGAATGAATGGCTGATGGTTGGTCTAAGAAGTTAGAGCCTTAGATTCCCTGACCCATGCTGCAGGCTGTTGACCTGCAGCATGGGTCAGGGAATGGAGGAGTTTCCAGATTGGAAACACCAGTAATAAGGACTGGGAATGAAGCCTGAGTGAGTCTCTTTACTGACTGCAGACTCCTGGTTCCCTTTTCCATGTGCTCTGAGAATATTGCAGGCAGGGATAGATATGCCCCTCCTTCACTCCCTCACTGCTACTCTCATCCCCACACACAAGTTTGTTAGATTCCTCTCTGAGGAAGTGGATTATTCAAGAGAAATGACTATAGTTGTTGACAGTTGAGGATCCCCTAATGAAAGAGGCAAGTCCCTGTCTGATCAACATACGGGCATATCTCTACCTGGATGTCTTTGTTCAGGCTGCTATTTAAAAAAACACCATAGATGGGTGGTTTAAACAACTAACATTTATTTCTCACAGCTCTGGAGGCTGGAAAATAAAGATGAAGGTACCGTTAGATCTGATGTCTGGTGAGAGCCCTCTCCTTGGTTTGGAGATGGATGCCTTCTTGCTGTCTTCACATAGCAGGGAGAGAGACAGAGGGAGAGAAAGAGAGAGAGAAGAAGAAGAAGAAGAGAGAGAAGAGAGATGGGGCAGGAGGAGAGAGAAAGAGGAAAGCAGGCAGGGAAAGATTTTCATGTCCCTTCTAACAAGGGCACTAATTTTATCATAAGGGCTCTATCCTCATGACTTAATTACCTCCAAAAGGCTCATCTTCAACTCCAACTTCCATCATATTTGGGATAAAGGTTTGAACATATGAATTCTGGGAGGACACAACCACGCAGTCCAAAACATTTGACATGCCCCATCAGTGCTCACAGACCTTGAATCAGCTTTTTTATTTGAATAAACTGCCTGAATAATGAAAAGTTTTCATTGCAGAGTATTGGTAAATGAAGTTCTGTCACTTACCAAATCAATTTTGGGCAAGTCAAAATAACTGAAGCATGCAATTAATAATACCACTCTGCCTGTTAATACTACCATTCTAATTAATAATACCATTCATCAAGGTTCTGCAAGAATTAAATGAGATAACCCACGCAAAGCAAAACATTACACAAATTTGGGGTAAAACAGATGTCAGTTCCTTGAGAACTTATGCAGAAAGGGAAAAATTAATATATATTTAAATTATGACTTGTAAATACCATAAAAACATTGGAAAATTATTACTCTTTTCCTTCGAGAGTTGTAGGTCATATAAATCACTGCATTTCCTGAGTCAAATTGTCTTCATTTTTTTGCTCTTTCAATATAGATTTAAATGAAAACTTACTTTAATGTTATTTTGACATATGAAAGTGTGTGTGTGTGTGTGTGTGTGTGTGTGTGTGTATGTTGGGTGGATTAAGTTGAAAAAAATAAAAAGCACTTTATGTGTCAATTATCAATATAATGGCTCTCAGCTCCAAATTCACCCTTCTTTGCCCTGCTTTGTGATAGATGGACTTGGGCTAGACTCTGTAAACATCTGTTGACAAAATGACTATTAAGCTTTACCAACAGAGGGCTTTGGAAAGTCTCTGGAGTGAGTGACAGGAAGACCATTCCCTTCCAGTTCTTGTCCTGTCATTATTATTCAGGGGAGAGCTATGTGGATGAGTTCCAGTTGCACCCTCAGGCTACCTCCCCTCCAGGCCACACCCTCCAGTCATAATGGGCTGTAGTTCCACCTGTGGCCTCTGGCCAGTTTCTTCCCCATCTGCAGGCTGTGGTCCAGGGGTAGGAAGGTCCTCTTTGAAGAGGTCCCTTAGCCGTGCAGGAATGGGGGTCCTTTTACACTTCTTACTTCCATTATCGTCTTCTCTTCCTCAGCAAGGGGGCCAGAGGCCAAAGCCCACACATTGAGGTGGGAATAACTAAATGAGGTCACCGAAAGACTATATTCTTAGGGGGAGATTGAACCAGAAGTCACTTCAAACCCTCCCTTCTCAAGGAACAGTGCAAGCACTGAATGGGACTAAGAGGTCATTGGCAGTCAGCTATCCTATGGATTTGTAGCCCAAATTCTCATCACGAGGCTGAGCTTGGAAAACCAACCTGTTAATTTAATTTAAAAGTGGTTCCAAACTTGGAAACTTCCCAAACTGGAAAGAAATCAAGGGAACTAAAAGAAGTTCCCAGATTCAGAAGTAATTTAACTGCCTGCCAGAACAAGGTCCAGCGAATTTTAAAGAAAGGAAACACACTCTAGAACTCCACAGCAAAGGTCAGGAAACTATCACCTGTGCTAAATCCAGTTTGTTGTTGTAAATATAGTTTTATTGGAACATAGCCATACCCGCTCATTTATATACTGCCTCTGGCTAATTTGAGGCAGAGTACAGAGACTGTACGGCCCGCGAAGCCTAAAATATGTACTATTTGGCTCTTTACAGAAAAAGTTTGCCATGTCCCTTCTGGCTTAGACCGTTAACATTTAATGTAATTATCGATGTGGTTGGATTTAGGTGTACCATTTTATTTCTTCTGTTTGTCCCTGTGGTTTTGTTTGTTTCACTACTTTTTGTTTCCAGTTTGTGTGAATAATCTTTATTATTCCAAATAGAGTAATCTAGTATTCTATTGGCTATCTGTATTTTTGAAAAAAATGCTTGCTTTAGGAATTACAATATTCATACCTAACTTTTCATGGTTGACCCTTGCTGTGGAGTTCTAGATTGTGTTTCCTTCCTTTAAAATTCATTGGACCTTCTTCTGGCAGGCTATTCTTTCTAAAATCACACTTCATGTGAAATGCAAAAGCCTAGTAGCCAAAAACTGGAAACAAATCTGAGACTGAGCATATATATGGACGATGGACAGAGCTTCTGTGACAACAGAACTCTCACCCACACCCTCTGCAGCAACCAGTCCTGGAAGCCAAACCACAATCTCCACAGCAATCCATTCAGAATGATCAAGACGTACTCAATTACTGCTATTATCCCAACATTTTGCTCCCTCTTCCAACTTGGGACCAATCAGAGAAACCCAAGCAGGTTCCACAAAACAATCCTGTAAGATGCCTGCGGCTAGCTGGTCAGCTTCCAGCTTCCTCATGCCAACACCCTCCGAGCAGAGCATTCCTGAACCTTCCCCTTTTTCCCCCACTATAACCCTGTCTGCCTTTGAGTATGCTAAACACAAGAAATTGTGGCTGATTCCTTTGCTACAGCAAGCTCTGAATGAATAGTGTTTTTCTCACGTTTGGTCTTCATTTATTTTCACCCTTCAAATGCTCATCAACAGCATAAATTATTGATAGAATCAATAGATAGGCTGTAGTGGATCAATAGAATCAATAGATAGGCTGTAGATATCAATAGATAGGCAATAGAATCAATAGATAGGCTGTAGATAGGCTGTAGTGGATTAGTGCAGAAATAAAAACTAACAAGCTATAGCTACAATTTGAATTGTACAAACATGCCGAGTGAAAGATGGCAAAGAATATGTACAGCATTTCGCCTAATTTCCTTAATGGTCATGAGTCCAAAAGAACAAAATATACTCTTTCATTTGGGAGGTTGAGGCAGGAGGATTTCTTGAGAACAGGAGTTAAAGACAACCCTGGGCAACAAAGCGAGACCACATCTCTATTTAAAAAAATAAAATAAATTAAAAATGATAATTCTCCCAGGCTTTGCAGATTGGTTCTGATTGGGCATTCCTTCAGTGCTTAGCCAAGCCATCTACAATTCTGCTTTAGCTTCCACCTCCTGCTTCTGTGGAGCCTAAAGATCAGTCAGAGGTGCAGGCCTAGAGTCCTCTCAGGTCTTTTCTGAAAATGTGTCTGGTGCTAGGCAAGTGTGTGGCCTTCCGGATTACCTATTACAGACAAGAGCCCTTCTGAGCCTTATCTCTCTCGTATCTTCCTCCCAGTATTTCCTTCCCAAGCTTTTTGGTCTGTTTGCTGCTTGCCCCATTTGTTGTCCCCAGCCCCAGGTGGCTGCAGGTAATGCTTTTGATAAGCACTGTGAGGCTGTTCCAGCATGGAGAGGGGGCGAAACAAAGGCAAACTTGAGCTGAACTTTCAGGAGCTGCCAGGCAGGTCAAAGCACATCCACATTTCTGAGAGCAAGATCTGTATTGCCTGCTCTGGCACCATCAAAATGCACCAGGAACAGAAGCCACTGTCCTTTCAGCTGTTGCCTGGCTGGGAGATGAGGCATGGTAGGTATGTAAGCAAAAACACCAAAACCCTTTTATTAAATAGCCTCTTTATTAAGCATTCCTCTGGTGGTTGTTTTTATTAGATAGCAGAGACCTAAAAAGTTGATCTTAAGTTTTTGCTAGCAATGGTCACTTCAGTAGAAGGACAGATCTTTGGAGCTCCCTCTTTTGCTATTTTTGATGATGTTACTATATAACATTTTAGCATAATTAACTTTTATAAATAGAGGATAGGATAGTGGGTGTCAGAATTTGGGGGAAGGATACAGGAGAGAGGTGCGTGTGCTTACAAAAGAGCAATGTGAGGGATTCTCATGGTGGTGGATATATGAACACAAGTGATAATACTGTTTAGATCTAAATACACAGAATACAAAACTGGGGAAATAAGAGGAATGAATTGTATCAATATAAATATCCTGGTGGTGATACACAATAGTTTTACAAAATATTAATATTTGGGGGAAAAGGGCCAAGTGTACAAGAGATCTCTGTATTGTCTTACAATTGCATGTGAATTTACATTATCTCAACAAAAATTCCCACTAAAAAGAATTCAGTGGCCAGGCGCAGTGGCTCATGCCTGTGATCCCAGCACCTTGGGAGGTTGAGGCGGGTGGATCTCTTGGGACCAGCAGTTTGTGACCAAACTGGGCAACATGAAGAAGTCCCGTTTCTACAAAGAAATACAAGATTTAGCTGGGCGTGGTGGCACATGCCTGCAGTCCAAGCTACTCGGGAGGCTGAGGTAGGAGAATCCCCTGAGCCCAGGAAGTAGAGGCTGCAGTGAGCCGTGATTGTGCCACTGCACTCCAGGATGGGCAATGAAGTGAGATCCTGTCTCAAAACAAAACAAAACAAAACAAAACAAAACAAAACAAAACAAAACAAAACAAAACAGGATTCAGAATACTCAGACTGGAGAAGATGAGGTTTTAGGACTGTATTACCCAACTTGTTTTGCTTATAATTTCTCTTTTTTTGTATCCACAAGTTATGTGATTAAAAATCTTATGTTTAAATAAATCTAAAATAGCTCTTCTAAGAAGTATAATTCAAAATAAGAAAGGACCATACTATAATTGATACCAATTTTTCTTTTCTAGTTGTACGTGAAATAACAGGGCATCTTACAATTAATGGCAACTTAGATTTTACGATTTATGATACGTGTTTGGAATGAAGTTGACTTAACAAGTCTATTTTGACTCATGATGCCAGCCTTCGAACTAATCATCAAAATGTCTCCAATAAACAATGACAGTATCTCACGGTGTAACAAGATAAAGGAGCCAGGAAACATATGGTAATCATCCATGTTTCTGTTTATATATAGTATATAGAACAACAAATTCAGGAACTATGGGAAAGTAACATATAAAACCTTAATAGGAAATAGAGATTATAAAACACTACCATATGATTTTTTTATATTGAAGCAAATACTTCAATATTCCAATATTTTTACTCACTTGCTAAATAAAGCATACAACTCAAAATGCTAAATAATTGTCTAAATCTGTTAAAGAATAAAACGTTAGTGAAAAACCAAAATTGCTTAGTAAGGTATGTATAACTTTATTACCTATCATAGACATCAAGATTATCATAGTTAATACCAACTTAAGCTTTATAGAATACTGTTTTAGGTCAAATATTGATATATTAAATGAAGGTATCAGAGAATCTTGTATTTATGGCATCAAGTTATAAAGATCTATTCAAAACTATTTTTTGTCAAAGTTTAAACACTGGAACAAAAGTCAAGTTGTTTCTAAATGAGACACAAAGGATTCTTGCTAATAGTACAAATTTTGTCCCCTGGGTAATGCTTTTTCTTTTTGTTTTTTTTGAGACAAAGTCTCTCTCTGTCACCAGGCTGGAGTGCAGTGGCTCGATCTCCGCTCATTGGAACTTCTGCCTCCTGGGTTCAAGTGATTCTCCTGCTTCAGCCTCCCAAGTAACTGGGACTACAGGTGCATGCCACCATGCCCAGTATTTTTTTTTAAAGTATAGATGGGGTTTCACCATGTTGGCCAGTATGGACCACCCGCATCGGTCTCCCAAAGTGCTGGGACTACAGGCATGAGTCACCATACCTGGCTGTCTTTTGCTTTTTTAAAAAAAATTATTTCAATTTTTATTTTAGAGTCAGGGAACACATGGGAAGGTTTGTTGGCTGGGTATACTAGGTTTGTGATGCTGAGGTTTGGGGTACGGATGATCCCTTCACTCAGGTAGTGAGCAGAGTACCCAGTAGGTATTTTTCAGTTCCTGCTCCCCACCCTACCTCCCCAGTGTCTACTGTTCCCATGTGTCCTTGGGTATTACTGTTTTCAAGTTTTTTTTCTTTTTTTTCTTTTTTTTTTTGAGACGGAGTTTCGCTCTTGTTACCCAGGCTGGAGTGCAATGGCACGATCTCGGCTCACCGCAACCTCCGCCTCCTGGGTTCAGGCAATTCTCTTGCCTCAGCCTCCTGAGTAGCTGGGATTACAGGCACGTGCCACCATGCCCAGCTAATTTTTTGTATTTTTAGTAGAGACAGGGTTTCACCATGTTGACCAGGATGGTCTCGATCTCTCGACCTCGTAATCCACCCGCCTCGGCCTCCCAAAGTGCTGGGATTACAGGCTTGAGCCACCGCGCCCGGCCTCAAGTTTTTTTCTTTACATGAAGCCACTGAAAGCAAACGTATGTCATACTTATAGGTTACTTTGTACATTTATCATTCTATTAATGAATGTCTTAAGTAATTAAGCAGTATATTAAGGCCACAAACCAAGTCATTATCTCATATCAAAGGACTATTGTTTTTTTTTTTTTTTTTTTTTTTTTTGAGACGGAGTTTCGCTCTTGTTACCCAGGCTGGAGTGCAATGGCACGATCTCGGCTCACCGCAACCTCCGCCTCCTGGGTTCAGGCAATTCTCCTGCCTCAACCTCCTGAGTAGCTGAGATTACAGGCACGCGCCACCATGCCCAGCTAATTTTTTGTATTTTAAGTAGAGACGGGGTTTCACCGTGTTGACAAGGATGGTCTCGATCTCCTGACCTCGTGATCCACCCGCCTCAGCCTCCCAAAGTGCTGGGATTACAGGCTTGAGCCACCGCGCCCGGCCAAAGGACTATTGTTATTCAATTATCTAAAAAGTTCATTTTAATGGGTTACGTTACAGGGTTGAGGTCAGCCTACAGACACAAAATAGGTTAATTAAAATATTTTTTTCAGATCAGCTTTTAATTTTTTCACTGGAATAGGATTTGGGGGTGGGGATAGTAAATGTGGCAGGGTTCAACAAATTTACAGTTTATCAAAAGGTTCTTTTTTTTTGAGACGAAGTTTTGCTCTTGTTACCCAGGCTGGAGTGCAATGGCGCGATCTCGGCTCACCGCAACCTCCGCCTCCTGGGTTCAAGCAATTCTCCTGCCTCAGCCTCCTGAGTAGCTAGGATTACAGGCACGTGCCACCATGCTCAGCTAATTTTTTGTATTTTTAGTAGAGACGGGGTTTCACCACGTTGACCAGGATGGTCTCAATCTGTCGACCTCGTGATCCACCCGCCTCGGCCTCCCAAAGTGCTGGGATTACAGGCTTGAGCCACCGTGCCCGGCAAAAGGTTCTTAAAGAATACAGTGATAGCATATACTTTAATTCTTATAGCACAAACCCTTATATTGATGGTCACAGAAAAATACTGTAATGCTTTAAATAAAAGTTTTAAAATACATCAATGATGCAAGTTTCAAACAAAATGTAGTGATCTACATGTACTTAACTGTCCTTTCGTCAAGCTTTTACAAACACAATCAGTCTTCACTGTCTGAGCAAATGAGTTTTAGTTTCTTCATGGTCCTCCATCTGTCTTTTAACATGACACTTGTCCGGTTGTTGAATTTATAATGCAACAGTATTTTAGACCAGTTTCCCTCTCCAAATTTCCTCACGCCAGATCTCAAATTCTTGTCTTCTTCCCAAAGCCATGCCTTTTGATAAAAAGTAAAACAGCTATTAACAGAAACAATTATTTAAAAAGAAAATACCTACTACAAAAGTCAGTTAAAAAAAATCAAAATAATGCTTAGTTTCTTAAAGACAGAAGATTTTTCTAAACATTTCCTAGATTTTTATGAGATTTTACATTTATCATAACATTTTTAGAGACCATTATTATTACTGTTCATTTGATGTAACCTCACCTGGCCAAGATCAGATAGATTTTACATTTATCATAACATTTTTAGAGACCATTATTATTACTGTTCATTTGATGTAACCTCACCTGGCCAAGACATCAGACAGTGCTACATGTCGAGTCAATTTGTCTGACTTTAAGGCTACACTGTCTCTTAAAATGCCAACAACTGTTAACAGTTGTATTTATTAATCCTCCAAATCTCCAAATAGAATTTACGAACGTTTAGTAGTTCACTAATGAACTCAGTGAAAACCCTGTTCTGCCTATGTTAGGGGAAGCGTTACACACACATACACAACTCAAATCTTGTCTAAAATAGACTTTGAAAAACACAACTAACGTAAACTAATTAAAAACATCTAATTTGCCAGGTGCAGTGGCTCAAGCCTGTAATCCCAGCACTTTGGGAGGCCGAGGCGGGTGGATCACGAGGTCAAGTGATCGAGACCATCTTGGTCAACACGGTGAAACCCCGTCTCTACTAAAAATACAAAAAATTAGCTGGGCATGGTGGCGCGTGCCTGTAATCCCAGCTACTCAGGAGACTGAGGCAGGAGAATCGCCTGAACCCGGGAGGCGGAGGTTGTGGTGAGCCGAGATCGTGCCATTGCACTCCAGCCTGGGCAACAAGAGCGAAACTGTCTCAAAAAAAAAAAAAAAAAAAAAAAAAAATCATCTAATTTTAGGCTGAGAGAAAATGCTTGAAATAAAAAATTTAAAAAGCAAATTTAATACTATACACAGAAAAATTACTGATACTTGGCATTTGCTACAGGTGACCAACTAATTACTCCTTCTGTTGGCATGCCAAAAAAGCAATCTGACCATCTGTGTGATTATTTACTGCGACTAGACTAAAAGACATTCTCCAGCACTTCACATTTTCTTTAAAAACCCAGTTCATCAACCCGCATTCATTCAGATGGCTACTATCAAAAAAACATAAAATAAGTGTTGGTGAGGATATGGATGAATTGGAACCTGTGGACACTGTTGGTGGAAATGTAAAATTATAGCGCCACTATGGAAAACAGTATGCAGTTAACCAAAAAATTTAAAAAAGGACTACCATATGATCCAGCAATTCTACTTCTGGGTATATATCCGAAAGAGTTGAGAGCTGGGGCCTGAAGAGAGATTTGTGCAACCATGTTCATAGCAGCATTATTCACAACAGTTAAAAGGTGGAAGCAACCCAACTGTCCAGCAATTGATAAATGGATAAACCAAATGTTTATATTGTAATTCAGCCTTAAAAAGAAAGTTCCAATGCATTCTAGAACATGGATGAACCTTGAGGACACTACGTCAGACAGAAAAAGACAAATATTCTACTACTTTAGTGATATGAGGTACCTAGATTAGTTCAATTCATAAACAGAAAGTAGAATGATGGTTGCAAGGGGGTTGGGCGGATGGAAATGGAGTTACTGTTAAATGGGTACGGTTTCAGTTTTGTAAGAGGAAGCATGCTATTCATAGATGGTAGTGATGGTAGCACAATAAGAATGTATTTAATGCTACCAAACTGTACATTTAAAAATAGTTAAAATGGTAAATGATAAACTTTATATTATGTATACTTTACTATAATTAAAGGAAAAAAAACCTCTTGTGTGATGCCATTAATTAGGAAGAATTCAAGGTGGCCTGAAGAAGACAAACATGACGTGAGAACCATCGTGCATATTGACTCGATACCAGAGTTGGCAGTGACCACAACCAAACCCCAGGTATAAGTTTGATTGAGCTACCTTAAACCTGATCATCTGTTCTTGCCGTCCCTCTGCTTTGTGACTTAATCCAAGATACCAACCTGGTCTCTTCTGTACCTGCTTTTGCTTGTTTGTCTGCAGCACACCTACTGGCAACTATACTGCTTACAAGTACATGGCTATTCAATCTCTAGACAAAGACTGACAGCCTCCTATGCCCATGTATTACTGCCTGACTCAGCCTTCATTCCTACAAAACCTCACGACACTGCTTGTCATTAACTGATAAAAAACAAGAGATGTATTATTTTTTCATGTGTGGGGTGACTAATTAAAATGACTTCAACAGTGGGTTATTAATCTTTGGGGTCACAGAAATCTTATAGATACACTCCACAGAAAAGTGTAAGTATCTAAAATTTTATATACAAATTTGGGGGCCACATAGACTCCCTTTAAAGAGCCTATCAACTCCATGGTCTCCAAGTTAAGAATTTCTGTTCTTTCAAGAAATTGTCATATATCATTCAGCTTTAAAAAATTGTGGTTTAGGAAAATTTCATGCACATATACAGCATTGTTTTCTTGTTTTTATCTGAGCTATAGTATTTTTAATAAGGAGCATAGATGATGTCTTATACAATACAAAAGCCCCTTTCTTTCAAGAAGTGGCCAATATTCTCTGTTTGAATCCTATTTGGGGTGCTTGGTGCAGTAAGTTTAAGCAGTATTTTCCAGTGGATCTTCTATAGCAGGGGTCAGCAAGTTACTGCCAAAACCCAGCCCAAGGTTGGTTTTCTACAGCCCTGAAGCTAAGAATCATTTTTACATTTAAAAAAGTCATTTAAAAAATTAAAATACTTAAAACATGTAACAGAAACTACGCATATTTCACATACATAGTTTCTATAAATCTTACTCTTTATGGAAAAATTTTGCTCACTCCGAACCTAGAGGAAAGTAGTAATGTTGTCAGTAAAGATTAACTGAACAGTGTTTAGCATTAAGTATTTTTTTCTTCTATTGAAAAAGAGCAACTAGCTTGATATAATGATTATGCCTTATTTTGCTTGATCTAAATGTTTTCAGGCTTTGCTTAATTTTACCTGTGACTGAAAGAGTCTTGAAAAACATCATATAGAATAAGCCATCAGTCTGGAAAGTAAGGAAAGCTTTTATTTTTAAGTTTTGAGGTTAAGTGGCCTAGTAATCACTGGTACCAACTCCTACTACTTTCTTTTTTTTTTTAATTTTTATTGCATTTTAGGTTTTGGGGTACATGTGATGAACATGCAAGATTGTTGCATAGGTACACACATGGCAGTGTGGTTTGCTGCCTTCCGTCCCCTCACCTGTATCTGTCATTTCTCCCCATGCTATCTCTTCCCACCTCCCCACCCCCCCGCCCCTCCCCTCTTTCCCCCCAACGGACCCCAGTGTGTAGTGCTCCCCTCCCTGTGTCCATGTGTTCTCATTGTTCAACACCCGCCTATGAGTGAGAATATATGGTGTTTGATTTTCTGCTCTTGTGTCAGTTTGCTGAGAATGATGGTTTCCAGGTTCATCCATGTCCCTACAAAGGATGTGTACTCATCGTTTTTGATGGCTGTGTAATATTCCATGGTCCTACTACTTTCTTTTTTTTTTTTTTTTTAAGATGGAGTTTCGCTCTTGTTACCCAGGCTGGAGTGCAATGGCACGATCTCGGCTCACCACAATCTCCGCCTCCTGGGTTCAGGCAATTCTCCTGCCTCAGCCTCCTGAGTAGCTGGGATTACAGGCATGCACCACCATGCCCAGCTAATTTTTTGTATTTTTAGTAGAGACGGGGTTTCACCATGTTGACCAGGATGGTCTCGATCTCTCGACCTCGTGATCCACCCGCCTCAGCCTCCCAAAGTGCTGGGATTACAGGCTTGAGCCACCGCGCCCGGCTGTCCTACTACTTTCTATAGCTAGAGCTGAATGAGTGACACAACTGACCTATCAGTGTCAGATCAGAAAGAAAACGTAAGGGCAGTGCAATTTCATAAAGTCTACTATTGTGCTTAAAACTTTCCATTTCCTCATTTTATACATTAAACTGATTGTACCAGATTCACAGTAATAGTTTAAGGGAAGAGTTTAAGATGATCTATTTCTGGACATTAAACCTATAAAACCCATTTCTTTTGTTCTATTGTTGTTTGTCTTTTATTTTCTCAAAAAATCAAAAATAAAATCAATACAAAATCATAACAACTTCAGCCATGCCAACATCCTGAAAAGATACAAAGAGCATATAACAAATTAAAACACACCAATCTTTTTCTTTCCCAAGGCTAGAAATTATATAACTTAAGATCTGAAAACTGTATGTCCATTCTAAAGAACAAATAATGCTTTTTAATGCCTTAAAATGATACTACTAACAGTAAAAGACAATACTGTTACAGTATTTCTCATTACATACTGTTTATGGAAAAAAGTTTGAAAGGCATTTACTTTTCTTCTTTAATGGAATACATTTGTAAAAGAAGGGCTCTTTAGTTCTGATAAGGAAGAAATATCTGTCTAACAGACCAATGCATCAAAAAGAAAACTGTCCAAGTAGACATAGGCTATTGCCATAAATTTTTTAAAAACCTCAATACAAAATAAAATTAAGTCTGTCACTTATTTTCTAAAACAAGTATTTTAACAAAAAGCCAACAATGGAAAGCTAAAAAATAAAACCAGGCACTTGTGATAGCCACAGAATTCTTTTTTGGCATAGGAAATGGTGACAGATATTATCACTGATTATGTGGTTGATATCCTATATTTTGGTTTGAACAGAAGAGAAAAAACTGCTTTCTTTATATATATCTGTAAATAACACCTACAATCTCACTTGGAATGATTGTGGAAAAACTACAGGGAAAGATCAGTTGTTGTATAAGGCAGAAACTTGTGGTTTCCAGTCCTATATGTGAAGAGCTTGGAAATCATCACGCCAGTCCCCAGAAGAAAAAAAGCTGTTGATCAAACTGAAAATCAGTAACTCTTCTTAGATACAACAAAGAATTAATGTCACATGGCAAACTGCTGCCCTAAAAACTAGAGAAGCTCAGAGGCAGATGAGCAGAAGCTCACAGGTGGAGCCAATACTGGTAGAAGCAATTAACTGAGACTGAGGAACTGATGGAGGCTCAGTGGGGATAAGCTTGAGAGTTAAAAACTCCATGGGCCCAGTTTCAGAGGGACTCATAAACTTGTATGAGTTTTATCTCCAGGAGCCCTACCAGGTCTCAGGGTGAAGATCAGACAAAAATTCCTTCCTGCTTCCGACAGGGGGAGGGGAAAAAGAGCCATTTTGAAATACTCCATTTCAAAATAAATAAGGAGAGTGTTCTGGTCTCCTTAATAAAATCCTGCCCTCAAGAGAAACAATTTTGCCAGAACCTAACTGACTGAGGCTTTAAAAGAGCCTAACTTAGCCGTGGAAATACTCAACCCCAACCCTCTCTAGCCTTCAAGTCTCACCCAAGGGGTGGTGGACTGAGAAGCATTTATGAAGGTCACAGACCAGGACACAGGCTTACTAAAAGAAAGAGATCTATGTACAGGACTCGAGAATGTATCACCTCCTCTTATCTTACCGCCACAACAGTCAGGATCCTGGGCATTACAGCTAAAAGAGCTCCCTCAGACTCTTACTAAAGCAGTCTCTAGGGAAACCCATAGACAACAAGAGACAAAAACAAGACACTGGAGGAAATTTTATTTATTTATTTATTTATTTATTTATTTATTTATTTATTTATTTATTTTTAAGATGGGGTTTCACCGTGATGGCCAGGCTGGTCTTGAACTCCTGACCTCAGGTGATCCACCCACCTCGGCCTCCCAAAGTGTTAGGATTACAGGCGTTAGCCACTGCGCTGGGCCAGAAATTTTAACCTTTGTCACCTACAGCTACAAAAAACGATAACTCCTAGCCAGATAAACATAAAACCTCACATTAAAGGATCATTTATCTCAATTCCTTTTACCTGATATATCATGTCTAGCTATCAGCAAAATATTATAATAAGCATGCTAAAAAGCAAAAAGCACAGTCTGCAGAGACAAAGTAAGCATCAGGACCACACTCAGATATGGCAGAGATTTTGGAATTGGATCCCTATTAGGAAAATTTAAATATCAAAGCTTATAATGTGGAGTTAAGTCCCAGCTTACCTCTGATAAACAGATTTTATGATAGTATCAAAATAATTCCAAATAGATGTCAGTATCAACACTCAACTTAAAACTTTTAAAATGTGGGTGAAGTATTCCATTTTGAATAGGAAAAGATGGTAAAGGGTCAATATTTTATATTCAAGATTTTTGGAGGATTGAACAGAAATAAGCACAATTATTCAAGTTATAACTTTAATGTCTGTAAGTGTTATCCAAGTATAATAAAAAACAAATACCTGTCTTTTTCTAGCTCGATGTTTTTCAGGAGTCACCGGTTGACTTTCTGAAACAGGTATTCTACTTTCAGTGGCTCTTCTGCTTTCTTTTTTCTTTTTTGCACCTAAAAGTAGAAAAGTAATGTGATAAATAGTTTCATATTAAAAAAAAAAAGAGCAGTTATATTTTTAAAGGTTATCATGAAATTCCTTTTTTAAGCTAGTCTAAAATAAATAGTATATATATTTAATTTTTTCCTTCAAATCTGGAAGCAGCATGGTATAGTGCAAAGATCAGTCTTTGAAATCAGGAGAGTGTTTTGAGTCTTGATTCTTTTATATGTCTTTATTTTTTTTTTTTTATTTTTGAGACGGAGTTTCGCTCTTGTTACCCAGGCTGGAGTGCAATGGCGTGATCTCGGCTCACCGCAACCTCCGCCTCCTGGGTTCAGGCAATTCTCCTGCCTCAGCCTCCTGAGTAGCTGGGATTATAGGCCCGTGCCACCGTGCCCGGCTAATTTTTTGTATTTTTAGTAGAGACGGGGTTTCACCATGTTGACCAGGTTGGTCTCGATCTCTCGACCTTGTGATCCACCCGCCTCGGCCTCCCAAAGTGCTGGGATTACAGGCTTGAGCCACCGCACCCGGCCTTATATGTCTTTAAACAAGTCATTTCATATCCCTGAGCCTGTCTTTTCATCATCCGTTTAAAAAAAGGGAAAAATATTTATTGTATAGGATCATTGAAATTTTCTTATGATAATGTTTTAGGAATACTAAGAAGCATAATCCTTTCCTCACTCTTTTCTTATTTATAGTTGGATAAGACAAGAAATATATTTAACTGAAAAGAAACAGAACTGTAATTATTGAAAAATGATAATCGTTTAAGCAGAAAACCTAAGAGAATCTACAAATAGAATAAAAAGATCAGTAAGATCAATACACAAAAAAGCAATAGGATTTCTATTCATTAGCAGCAAACAGTTAAAATATTTAATTACAATAGAAAGATACTATTTACAATAGCCACAAAAATCTAACATTCTTAGAGATAACTTTTTTTTTTAAAAAGAGACAGTCTCTCTCTTTTGCCTAGGCTGACGTGTAGTGGTATGATCATAGCTCAAACTCCTGGGCTCAAGTGATTCTTCTGCTTTATCCTCCCTCACCTCAGCCTCCTGAGTAGCTGGGACTGGGACTAGAGGCACATGCCACCATGTCTGGCTAATTAAAAAAAATTTTTTTGTAAAGACATGGTTTCACTATATTGCCCAGGCTGGTCTCTTAATTACTGGGCTCAAGTGATCCTCCAGCCTTGGCTTCCCAAAGTGCTGGAATTACAGGTGTGAACCATCATGTCATGGTCTTTTTGATAACTTCAGCAAAAGTGGTGCAACATCTATATGTAGTAATTATAAAGCTGTACTATGTATATGAAACAGGTTGTGAGAAGGTTTACTCTCTCTTTCTCTCTCTCTACCTACCTACCATTGGCCTTCTATATTTGGAGGTTCCATACTGGATTCAACCAACCTTGGAATAAAATATTCAGAGGGGAAAATATAAAACAATAAAAATGATACAAATAAAAATATAGTCTAACATCTATTTACTAGTTATTTATCATTTACATTGTTTTAGTTACTCTAAGTAACTTGGGGATGAGTTAAAGCATGTGGTAGGCAGGTGCATAGGTCTATATGCAAAGACTATGCCATTTTATGTAAGAGATTTGAGAATTTTGGTATTCCTCTTGGGGTGGGGGAGGATGCGGGTCCTGGAACCAACCCCCTGTGAAAACCAAGGGATGACTATATATATATATATAAACATGTTAGAGAAGTATATTTTGTTCATGCATAGGAAAACTTAATGTAATGGTGTCAGTTCTCTGCAAAATCACCTGTTGTTAACAATGCAATTTCACATAAAATTTCAACAGGGTTCTTTGTATAGTTTAACAAGATTATTCTAAAATTATGTGTTAAGGGAGGTAGTCCATCATTGGCTCTGAGCACCCCTGCAATTCTTGTTGAATGTACAAAAGCCTTAATCATCTCCTGATACTGTGCATTTTCTATAGCCAGTCAGATAGGCAATTAAGCAGGTCAAGGAAGCCACAGCATGACCACTAGGCAACTGCTCTCTCTGGGAGAGGGTACTGGCTTGTTTGCTATTTGTTACAATGTTTTGTTGCTTACTCAAAAGCGCTGAACCCTTGGCTCTAAGTTTTCCTCAGCTGAAATAAAACTTACTGCCTTCACAGCACACATTTAGGCCTGCTGCATAGTCCATGGGACTCAGGGTAGAGAAATCTGAACAACTACATCAATGCCATGTTGTTTGCTATGCCATAATAATCTGTCTTACTCTAGCTCATTAAGTCATTAAGTCTTGTTGTCTACCTTTTGTACCTATAAAGTAGTAGCAGGTTTACTGCTTATAAAGCCCTATGGCTAAGTTTCTTCCCTGATAATAGGGAAGATCAAAATACCAGAATAGTCAAGCTACTCTTGAAGAACAGTAAGATTACCCTACTACAAAATGAATTACTACAAAACTGCAGTAACTGAAACAATATGGTACTGCTGCAGGAGTAGACCAAGAGACCTAAACATACATGGGAATTTGATATATATACTGGGTAGGTTCCAGTCAGGAAAATGGAAACCATACTAACTCTGATGGAGAGATTTTAGTATTAGGAATGTTTAAACAGGTGCTAGAGGACTAAAAAAGCAAAGAGGAAATAAATTAACATAAAGACAAATTCATAATTATAGTTAGAGATTTTATCACTTCTCTAATTGATAGAACAAGTAGGCAGGAAATCAGTATGTCTATAGAATGCCTGAACAGCACTATTAAAAATTTGCCCTAATTGACATTTTAAACACTTCATTCAACAATACCAGAATTCACATTCTTCTCTGTGCACATTCAAATGGACCAAGATAAACTATACTATTGGCCATAAAACAAATCTTAAAAAAAAAACAAAAACAAAAAAAACAAAAAACAACTATGAAGCATATGCACAGACTGAAATAGAATTAAACTGTAAGTCAGTAACAGAAAGGTATTTGGAAATTAAACAACTTCCCTCATAGGTCAGTAAAAAAGTCTCTAAGGAAATGAAAAAATGTTTTGAACTGAAAATCTAACATGGAAAACAATGTTACAAATCTTGATTATATAAAATATAACCAAGAAAAATTGGTGATTGGTGGAAGAAATTTTTGCTAAGGTCAATCAACAGGCTAATGTTGATTGACTAAAGTTGACTGACTTAAAGCATTTCATATTCTTTTTTTTTTTTTTTTTTGAGACGGAGTTTCGCTCTTGTTACCCAGGCTGGAGTGCAATGGCGCGATCTCGGCTCACCGCAACCTCCGCCTCCTGGGTTCAGGCAATTCTCCTGCCTCAGCCTCCTGAGTAGCTGGGATTACAGGCACGTGCCACCATGCCCAGCTAATTTTTTGTATTTTTAGTAGAGACGGGGTTTCACCATGTTGACCAGGATGGTCTCGATCTCTTGACCTCGTGATCCACCCGCCTCGGCCTCCCAAAGTGCTGGGATTACAGGCTTGAGCCACCGCGCCCGGCCGCATTTCATATTCTTTATTTTACACAGATCATAAAGGTTACTGACAGATTTCTTGTGAAACCACCTTTATCTGAAGTACTGAATCCTTGTTTTACATTTTAAAAATTAAATGTAAATATATTTTAAAGTAACATATGTAACTTGATCGTATTTTTCTAAAATTTTATTTGCTTTGAATCTACCCACTCTTTTATTGAAGCAGTCCATCTAAGCAATTAAAAGCCTGGGCTATGCAGTGAGACTATCTGATTTCAAATTTTGGCTCCTGTTCTGTTCATATATTGTGTAACCAAAGACATTTTATTTACTTTTTTGAGACGGAGTTTCGCTCGTTACCCAAACTGTAGTGCAATGGCACGATCTCGGCTCACCACCTCTCTCTCCTGGGTTCAGGCAATTCTCCTGCCTCAGCCTCCTGAGCAGCTAGGATTACAGGCACGCGCCACCATGCCCAGCCAATTTTTTTTATTTTTAGTAGAGACGGGGTTTCACCATGTTGACCAGGATGGTCTCGATCTCTTGACCTTGTGATTCACCCGCCTCGGCCTCCCAAAGTGCTGGAATTACAGGCTTGAGCCACCGTGCCCGGCCTTTATTTACCTTTTTAAATCTCAGCTTCCTCATCTATATAATGGAGATGATTTAAGAAAAAAAAAAAGCACTGATCTCATAAGGTTGTTTTGAGGATTGAATGAGTTTACATATAAAAAGCTTTCAACTCAAATATTAATAATTTCACTCAATGATGGTGAGTTTTTCTGCACAGATGAAATCTGGATAATTTGGCTTTTTCTTTCAACTTTTCTGGATTACTTGATTTTTTTTCCCTAAGGACATGTCAATTTTGCAACACAAAAATTAATTTTTGAAAACAAGGTAAGGGCTGGGAGCAGTGGCTCATGCCTGTAATCTCAGCACAATTACAGCAAGCAGATCGCTTGAGTTCGGGAGTTAGAGACCAGCTAGGACAACATGGCAAAATCCCATCTCTACAAAAAACTACAAAAAGGCCAGGCGTGGTGGCTCATGCCTGTAATGCCAGCAATTTGGGAGGCTGAGGCAGGCGGATTGCCTGAGGTCAGGAGTTCCAGAGCAGCTTGGCCAACATGGTGAAACCACATCTCCACTAAAAATCTGCCGGGTGTGGTGGCACACTCCTGTAATCTCAGCTACTCAGGAGGCTGAGGCAAGAGAATCACTTGAATCCTGGAGATGGAGGTTGCAGTGAGCCAAGACTGAGCCACTGCACTTCAGCTGGGGTGATAGAGACTTGTCTCAAAAAAAAAAAAAAAAAAAAAAGAAAACACACACACACACACAAACACAAACTAGCAAGGTGTGGTGGCATGTGCCTGTGGTCCCAGCAACTTGGGAGGCTGAGGTGGGAGGATCACCCAAGCCTGGAGATATAGATACTGCAGTGAGCCAAGATATCACCACTGCACTGCATTCCAGCCTGGGCGACAAAGTAAGGCTCTGTCTCCAAAAACAGAAAAGGAAAAGAAAAAAAAGGTTTAGTGCAAACAAACTTATTACTTATTATCTGCGAACTATAAAGAGGGGGTACTTGGTACTTGGGTACCACTGAAGTACACTGGATTTTTTAAAGAAAACATATTTATTACTGATACCTAATAAAATGTGCTAAAACTCAAGCCTTACAGGCTCAATAGCCACAGTCACTGTCAAGCCAGTCTACAATGAGTTTACAGTCTTCAAGTTTGCTGATAAACCATGTTTTCTCTTTTTCTGAGATAGTCTTGCTCTGTCACCCAGGCTGGAGTGCAACCTCCACCTCCTGGGTTCAAGATGGACTCTCATGTGCCTCAGCCTCCTGAGTAGCTGGAATTACCAGCAGGCACCACCATACCTGGTTAATTTTTTCTATTTTTAGTAGAAATGGGGTTTCGTCATGTTGTCTAGGCTGTTCTCAAACTCCTGAGCTCTTCAGGCAATCCACCCGACTCAGCCTTCCAAAGTGCTAGGATTATAGGTATGAGCCACTGCGCCTGACCTGTGTTTTCTTTTCTTTGAATTTCGTACTATTAAATTAAAAGTCTACAGGCCGGGCGCGGTGGCTCACGCCTGTAATCCTAGCACTTCGGGAGGCCGAGGTGGGTGGATCACCTGAGGTCAGGAGTTCAAGACCAGCCTGGCCATCATGGTGAAACCCCATCTTAAAAAAAAAAAAAAAAGGACAAAAATGCTCACATTATTCTCATTTAAAATGATTCTCAGCCATCTTGCCGCAATAGGTGTAGAAAACCAATCTTGGAACTCCACCAATATTAGGCAAATAACTTTACTGAGTTTCCATTTTCTCATCTTTAAAATGAGAATGATGTCTATGAATCTAAATATTTTAGAGCTGTATTTACAAATATTTGCTAATGGTTGCCCTGTCATCGGTCATCAGGTATGAACAAATTTATTTTATCTAACTGGAGATGGATTAAATAAAAAGAAAAAAAAATTATTCTATGATATTTACTGCAGGCCTATCATTTGCCTGGCATCAAGATAGTACCTTTTGAGCATTGAGAAATAAACCTTATTTCATTATGTCTGTTACTTTTATCAATAAGTATTTAGGCTTAGATATATATCAAAATCTGTTATCAGTTCAGTACCTAAAATATTAATGTGGGGTCGATAAACATTTGTTAAATGAATATATAGCCCCCCAAAAAAACTTAAAATCAAAATTGAAAACAAATATGGACTGCTTTTAAAAAACTTTTTATTTTCTTTTTGGGTATTGTTATTTTTTGTTTTGGGAGGGTTTTTTTTCTTTTAGTCCTTCTACGACATCCAGAGGTTTTGTATTTTTTTTTTTAATCTAGGAATGCCTTTTATAAAAAAAATAAATTTTAAATGCCATAAGGAGTATACAGATCGTGTGTGTGTGTGTGTGTATAAAATCAATCTTCATTATTCATGAATTCTACTTGTTGTCTACCCAGTAAAATTTGCCTAACTCTAAAATCAATACTGTGGCACTTTTTTAGAGTCACTGGTAGATATGTGCAAAGCAGCAAAAAATTTTGAGTTGTCAGGTACACACATCCACAGCGAGGTCACACAAGGTAACACTCTGCCTTCTTTCAGCTCTCATACTATCAACAAGTGTCTTTCTCACAGTTTATCTAGTGACACATTTTTGCTTTCTGTTGGTGGTTTTGCTGTTTAAAATGGACCCCAAATATAGCGATGAAGTGCTATATAGTGTTCCTAAATTTAAGAGGCTGTGATGTGATTTACAGAGAAAACAAATGTGTTATATAAGCTTCACTCAGGCCTGAGTAATATAGTGTTGTTGGTAGTGACTCATTGTTAATGAGTTAACAATAATTAAGAGTCTTTAAACAGAAACACACATAAAACAAGGTTATGTACTGATTAGTTCACAAAAATGCTGCGACCACAGGCTTGCAGAAACATAACCCTTTAATTCCCCTAGGAGTAATGATTCAATATTTGCTAATTCAACACTCTCAGACTTTATAAAACGTAACTACTGTGAATAACAAGAATCAACTGTAGTTAGTGTTTCAGAAAAGTAACTACAGTCAAGCATTGCTTTACAAGGGGGATACATTGAGAAATAGGTCATTGAGTGATTTTGTCCTTATGTGAACATTGTAAGAGTGCACTTACAGAAACTTAAATATGTATTTTTTTATATAGAAATGAAAATATTACTTGCATTTTCATACAGAAAACTCACAGTTCCCAGTTCCATTGCTAATTATCAATCATTTCCCCTACTTGATATGCAATGACAATATCAAGTGCCACATTATCAAGTTTCTATATATGTTCCATTACATTATTACAGGACCACCATCCTACATGCAATGTAGTCTCTCTTTGACTGAAATGTCATGATGTGCCATATGACAATATTTGAAGTTACTGAATACAGTCAAGGTAGAAAAGCAGTGTACTTCTATAGTAAAATAACTCTAAGCTAGACAATAAAAATAGCTAACTTTCTAAATTAAGCACTTACGCCACCTCAATTAACTCTGTGAAGTCAAAACTTTGTGCTTCAGTTTTCTGAAGTGTGTGTTTTTTTGTGTTATAGTAGTAAGGTCAATAGAGGGGACTGTTTGAGGACACATCAATTCTCCCCTTCTAAAACTGTCAGTAACAGTACTCACTTTGAAGAGTTCCTACTCTTCTTTCTTTATTAAGGTCTTGTTGCTGGGTTCCATGTTTCAACTTAGATAAGAAAAGATTCTTGTGGGACCTAAAATAAAATAGGAAAGCTTGTGATTGGTTCTAGAAAGATTAGTAAAGCAACGGAAAAAAGGTAAATGATTTGCCTTAATCTGTTCTAGGATCTTCTATTAATACTTTGGCCCACTTCCTTTGGTGCTCTTCCTGCTTAGTGCCCCATCTTAACCTGTGGTCTCTTAAGGTTTCTGTTGCCTCTCTCATCTTTCTACATTTCATCTACTCAGCAGAAATCAAGACGTTTTTTGATGCCTCAGAAGGAGGCAAAAACCAAAAAAATCAAAAACAAAAAACTCTTTTGGCCTTCCTATTAAATACATCAAGGAAACAAAATCCTTAAACTACAAAGCATTAACTTTCATTTCCCCAAAGACAAATTCCAAAATGCCTTTACATAATGGCAGATATCACTTGATTATCTTTACAACTTCCAAAAAGAGTTTTAAAAGGTGAGGCTGTTTGGAAACACAGGAAGTGGCATCATTTTTCTAGAAAACCCTGCCAAGTTGGTAGTATATTAATCCAGTTTTATGAAGGAGCAAACTAAGATTCAAAAAGCAGTTCACCTAAGCTTAGGCAGCTATTAACTCCACTTAAAATGTAGGTTCTTTTAGCTATACTTTTATCCCTATGAATACTCTGTCACCAGATATCCTTTCTTTCTTCCCCTCTCTCCCTCCTTCACAAGACTTTCTATTGTCCTTTCTGGAATGTCATTCTCAGCCTCATTCCTCGCCTCTCTTTGCCTTGTCAAAAATCTAGCTCTCCCCTGGGGATGACATTTCTCTCCTTGGTAGCCTTCTCTAGTAGAGATTGGCTTAATCGTCCACCCTCCATAAACTACAGGACTCCAGAGACAGCAGTTTTCATTTCCTAATGAATGCCACTTCCAAGGTCCTGTTTCCATAGAAACTTCAGCCTTGAGGCTTCATGCCACTGAGATGTATCACCTTCGATCGTTCTTCACAGCCATTCACCATCCTTCCAAGCACTTCTTCATCATTCACAGATCATTCTCTACACCTAAGTGCTGCTATTATGACTTATTTCCGTGTTCTCATGGACAATTCATATACCACTCTGACCTCTCAATTCCTCATGTCCAATCACCTCCACCACACCAAGTCAGCCACCCCCTCCCATGGTTCCACTTGTGATTCCAACTGCTTTATCTTCGAAATCATTCATGCAGACTTTCTGCTCTCTGGACATGTTACATTGTCTGTCACAGCAATTCTAGTAGATTGAATAGTTTTTCAAGTAAATTTCATAAAATTGGCATTTGGGACATTCATTAGAAATGTAATCCCCATCTCTTTCCTGCCCCAGTACTGTATCTTTGTTTCTATGACAGATAAGAGTTTACTAAACTTCTGTTTTAAGCTCAAGAACTCCCTATATGTGTATTTCAATAGTGGCTTTGTAGAAGCAATGTGAAACAACCCATTCTCTGAAGCAGGTTTCTATAGTTTGGAATTTCAAGATCTCTCAGAGTCGTGAATATCTATTGGGCTAAGCAGGACACTGAGACATTCTTTTAATTGTACCATTTATGTGGTAGTTATATTAGGTCTGCATGAATTGCTTCAATCAAAGATTTGAAAGACAAAGAAGAAAAACGTCAATTTACTTCACCTCAATAAGGATACTGTACCCTCTGAGGATTCAGTTACCGCAGACTGTTTGTCACTAACACTTTAAAAGAAGAAAAAATTTTTAAGAATGTAAACAAAAGAAACTTCATAAGGATAGTATTTTCCACATAGTCAAACCATATTTCAATTAAAAAAAAAATAACTGGAAAGAAACCTTGATAACATTGGGACATACACGGTCCATTACAACATGGCTAATTTTTGTTCAAACGTGCTTATAAGAGGTATTAGATCAAGCTCCTCCAAACATAAGCATAATTAATGCTGTAGTCAAGCATTTGTAATAACACTCTTTCAATCTTCTACAGTACTTTATTTCCATGAATTCAAGTTTTTAAAACTGCTTTATTAAGGTATAACTGATACCTAAAAAGCACATGTTCAAAGTTTATAATTTGATGGGTTCAATTTTAATTTATTGTTCTCCCCACCAGTGTCCAAATGAACTTTGGGGAATTGATTAATTTCCCCTTTGTTATAGTTAAAATAGTTTCCACAAATACGGCATGATTATTTGCACCTCCATGCTTTCACTGGTATTATTCCTCACTCCTAAAATGGTATTTCCTCTTCTATCCATCAGTAAAAATCTTAACTATCCTACAAAAGCCCCTGCTCAAGACTAGTTCCTCCATGAAGCTGTCTATCTCAATTATTAAACATTGTGCTAGATATTTTAAGTAACCTAGAGATGATTTAAAGTATATGGGAGGATGTATGTAGGTTACATGCAAATATTACACCTTTTATTTTATTTTATTTTATTTTGAGACAGGGTCTCACCAAGGGTTAGACAGGCTGGAGCACAGCTTACTGCAGACCTCCTGGGCTCAAGTGATCTTCTCACCTAAACCTCTCAAGTAGTTAGTACTACAGGCATGTACTGCCATGCTTGGTTAATTTTTGTTAAGACAAGTTTCTGCATGTTGCCTAGGCTGATGACCAGTGATCCTCCTGCCTCAAGCCTTTCAAAGTGCTGGGATTACAGGTATGAGCTACTGTTCCTGGCTATTACACAATTTTTGTAAGACACCAGGGCATCTGTGGATTTTGGTATTCATGGGGGATAGATGTCCTAGGACTAATCCCCTTCAAACACCAAGGGACAACTGCATACATTTTATCAGAGCAAAATATTTATTTTATCTAGTTTTCATAACATGGGGGTTTCAATTTTTCTAGCATTTGACCCGCAGTCACACTTCTGATTCTATACTTGCTTCACGTGAATCCTACTGGTAACCATCCTGATACTGGTGATTTGATGCTTTATTTGCCCTGGTTCTGCTTCCAGGATAGTTTTGGTATTTGCTTGATTCTTGATCTTTAACCTGTTTCTAGTTTTAGTTTTGTTCCCTGTAACCAGTGTACAGTAAGTTCTAATACATGCCTGGTAATGAATTAGGCAACAAGGATACCATGCTAATTAAGATGCTTCAAAGCCAATTAAGAAACTTCAAATAATTCTCAATCTAGTAAAAGCATCAGATAGGTAAACAGATAAGTTACTAATGAAGATGAGTCCTTTTATAGAGATATATGCTATGAAAGCACAGAAGTAACAACTCTGATGAGAGAGCTGGGCAAGACTTCATACAGGTGATCTCTGAGATACATTAAATGTCAAGTAAAAGCCTGCCATGGAGAGAATAAAAAGGAATTCAAATAGAAGGAACAAAGCAAGGGTAGAGGTATGAAAACTTCTAACATTTTCAGATCAGGGAGAAGTTCTGTGCTGCTAGAAAGTACCATGAATGTGGGCAGAGGGGTTCATGCTTAGGGATAAGATTGTATACGAAAAAAATAGAAACGGTCTATGTAAGGCTTTATAAGCCATGCCAATAAATTCTGACTCACCTAGTAGGAAGTAGGAGGCAAAAGGTTTTTAAGCTGAGAAGTGATCTAAAGAGATTTATTTTTGTGGAAGTTAACTCTGGAGGTTATGTCAAGGATGGATTTGAATGCTCCAAAGCTATATAAATGATAATAGATTGGAGAAGCATTTCTGAGGTGGGGTTCTTAATACCTGGAGAGACAACCGGATGTGTGAAGTAATTGGGCCAATAAAAATGGAATCTCTACTTAAACTGGATTTTAGAAATAAACAGTACATCAGTGGGAAAGAAGACTTTAGTACAGCCTTTGGAGAGACAAACCAGTGAGGAACAGGTCATGCTTTGAAAGGCAGGAACAATAGGAAGGACCACTATAAGATGACAGAGCCTCAGTCCTGAGATGTGACAAATGCAGTGTTGATCCAACTTGAACCCCAATCTCCACCTCTAAATAAGTAGTTAAGATGGGGTCCCTGCAGCACTTAAGTCATGGTCCCAAGAAGAAAGAGTAATATTACATCCATTTCCTACCACAGGGATTTGATTATCTGGCCTTGGTTTAAGGGTAGAAGAAAAGAGAAAATAGACCATGAGTTCAATAGAAAGGAAGATCTTTACAGTGTTAGAGCTGTATCTTCAATAGGGGAAGATACTTAAGCTTCTAAAGCAAAAGACAAAAATCACCCCTGAAAATCTCTAAAGAAAAAATAAGTTTGGAGACTTAACAACTGTCTCTCAATATATAGGACTGACACAACCTGTTTTCCCCCAGTTATTAAAGCAAATCACTATTTCTTCAGTTGAGCACTGGATGCAGCAGTGAGCTTACCCTTAGAGAAGATATGTGAATAATATATTAAAATACTAGACTCGTAGTACAGTGAAACATGAATCACATAAGGAGAACATGTAAAACCTAAAAACAACTAAGGGGCACAGGATTCACACCTCACCCTTGTTCCTGAGCATACCCTTAGTAAGAAATGTTAAATTATCCACATTATTGAAACTGTACTATTTTCTTATTCTCTACTTTTGCTTAGTATATATAATTTGTACAGGTCATGAAATAACTCTACAGTATTCCATATACCTAAATGTTAATCATCAGCAAGATAACATACTCAATAATTATTTTTAATAAAAAGATTTGCATCAATTTTACAGAAAGACAGACATTCATAAGACAAAGAATATACCAATTGATTAAATTACAAACCTTTTTCTTGTATCCAAATTAGCTTCAGTTTCCATTTCAACATCATTACCATTAGGTTTATCTTGAGAAGTTATTGTTCGTGCTCTTTTACTTTCTACTACTTTTGCTGCTGCCTTAAAAAACAGTGTGTGTGGAGGTAGGGGGATAGGAAGAAATGCATTAAGCCATTTTAAACAAATAGCATTAAAGTAAGCCTCGTAATTCTTTGATAGTCATTGCCAATGTATTTGTTCACAGGCCAATAAAGGGCACTGTGTTGTTATTTTCACCAATAATTATGACACTGCCAGCAGCTACATTAGCTATCTGCTTGGCTTATCAGCATTATGAAGGTGGTTTTTCCTTGTAAATATATTTGACAGACGCAACACTCTCTAGGCAATTTTAAGAGAAAAGGCTGCATGGAAAAAAAAAACGAATAAAAATTCTAGATATTTTGAAATAAAAATGATCTGCAATCAAGATGCTTCACTTTAATAACACCGTCAACTTAAAATTTCTGAGGCCATGACAGAGAAAAATATGTTATTAGAAAACTTTTATTGTTGTTTGTTCTGAGACAGGGTCTCACTCTGTTGCCCAGGCTAGAGTGCTCACTGCAGCCGCAACCTCCTGGGCTCAGGTGATCTCCCACCCCAGTCTTCCGGTGTGCTGAGACTATAGGCGTCCACCACTACGCCTGGCTAAATTTTTGTATTTTTTTGCAAAGATGGGGTTTTGCCATGTTGCCAAGGTTGGTCTCAAACTTCTGGGCTCAAGTAATCCACCCATTTCCGCCTCCTGAAGTTCGGGGATTACAGGTGTGAGCCACTGCGCCTGACCAGCAATGTCTTTTTTTTGAGACAGGGTCTCATTTTGTCACCCAGGCTGGAGCGTGGTGGCTCAATCTCAGCTTAATACATCCTCAACCTCCCGGGTTCAAGTGATCCTCCTACCTCAGCCCCACCAAGCAGCTGGGACTACAGGCATATACCACCATGCCCCGCTAATTTTTTTGTAGATAAGGGGTTTCACCATGTCACCCAGGCTGGTCTGGAACTCCTGAAGCTTGGCCTCTCAAAGTGCTAGGATTATGGGTGTGAGCCACCACGAATGGCCTAGAAACTTTTAAAAGCCCCATCTTTAATGCAATTCTACTTTTCTCCCAAAATGTTTTTAAAAACATATTTAAAATTTACTTAAATTAAAATGAATATTTGCTTTTGCTTATTTCTTATTTTCAATTCATTCTAAGTTTTTCCCTCAACTTTTTCTTTTAATAAGTTTCCTGGCCAGGCGCGGTGGCTCACGCCTGTAATCCGAGCACTTTGGAGACCAAGGCGGGTGGATCACCTGAGGTCGGGAGTTCAAGACCAGACTGACCAACACGATGAAACCCTGTCTTAAAAAAAAAAAGTTTCCTGAACTAATTTTGAAATATTACAAAAATACTACAAAGATCACCCACAGATCTTTTAATTAGGTCCACAAAATGTAACATTTTATCACATTCTTCTACAAAACCACAATGAAAAATTCTTTTTTTTTTTTTGAGAATCTCACTGTCACCAGGCTGGAGTGCAGTGGCATGATCCTGGCTCACTGCAACCTCTGCCTCCTAGGTTCAAGAGATTCTACTGCCTCAGCCTCTGGAGTAGCTGGGACTATAGGCACGCACCACCATGCCCAGTTAGTTTTTGTATTTTTAGTAGAGACAGGGTTTTACCATGTTGGTCAGGATGGTCTCAATCTCTTGACCCTGTGATCCACCTGCCTCGGCCTCCCAAAGTGCTGGGATTATAGGAGGGTGCCACTGCGCCCAGTAGATTCTTTTTAGTTTTAAGGACTACTATTTCAAGTATCTCCCCTACTAAAACATTTCCTTTAAGTCTATTATTACAGTCGCTCTTGAATAATACGTATACCTTCATTAGAAAGGTTGATGATTTTTCACTTAGTACATTATTCACATAACTTTTAATTTTCTCCATCATGTGGTTGTAACTGAAGTGTTGAAAAACAGAATGGTATGTATCTTTCTGAGAGATTATCATAAGCAATTTCCTTTTTAAAGGCTAAAGAAAACAGAAGAAATTTATTAACATAAATCACATAAAGTTACAGACACAAGAATTTTTGTCATATATTATTTAATTGAAAAAATCACTTTATAAACTCAGAGACACAAGAGATTTTTAAAATTAAGTTTTAAATGACATGCCAATTTACTTTTTTCTGACTTCTTCTGGCCTCTACTTCATTTAAAAAAATATTTTATATTTCAGACAGACGCAAAAAGTTAAGTATTATAAACCAGAGTATCTATCACCCAGTTTAAGAAATAAAACATTATCAACATGGTTAAATCCCTGTTTACTACCATAATCTGACTGTATCCCCTTTTGTCTCCTCACTGTAACCATTACCCTGAATTTAAAATTTACCATTCCCATGAATTCCTTTGCTTGCACTACATATGAATATATCCACAAATAATACGTAACATTGCATAGCATGGTTTTAACTTTAAACAAATGGTGCCTTACTATGTGCATTCTTCTGAAACTTGCTATTATTTTACTCACCTTTATGTTTACATTTATTGATACTGATCTGATATCCCTAGAAATAGTTATTTTTACCTCTGTAAAGTACTACACTGATCAAAAACATCACTTATTCATCCATTCTTCAAGCCTATTGAGGGATTTAGGCTATTTGCAATTACTGCACTGTTCTTAGGCATTTTTTAAACATTATCTTCTGTGCATTGTATGTGTTTTTCTTAGTAACTCAATGCTGGCTGCATAATAAAAGCTGTAGAACTTTAAACAAATTCTTAGGCTTGATCCCAGACCAATTGTTTAAGGAAGGCCTGGGTGTTTTTTTTTTTTTTTTCAGATACGGAATCTTGCTCTGTCGCCCAGTTGGAGTGCAATGTCACAATCTCGGCTCACTGCAACCTCCGCTGCCCGGGTTCAAGTGATTCTCCTGCCTCAGCCTCCTGAGTAGCTGGGACTACAGGTGTGCGCTACCACGCCTGGCTAATTTTTTTTTTTTATTCCATAGAGACAGGGTTTCACCATATTGGCCAGGATTATCTCAATTTCCTGACCTCATGATCCTACCGTCTTGGCCTCCCAAAGTGTTGGGATTACAGGCGTGAGCCACCGCGCCCGGACTGTTTTTGTCTTTAAAGCTTCACAGTTTTAAAAATGTGCAGTTAAAAGTGAAGCCAGCTATTCTAGGGTATTATCTAGAAGTAGAATTGCTGGAATACGTGCTTAGAAGATTTTGCACCAGGGGTGGGCTTCACACCTGTAATCCCAGCACTCTGGGATGCTGAGGTGCATGGATCACAAGGTCAGGAGTTCAAGATCACACTGGCCAATATGGTGAAATCCTGTCTCTACTAAAAATTCAAAAATTAGCCAGGCATGGTGGCATGCGCCTGTAGTCACAGCTACCCAGGAGGCTAAGGCAAGAGAATTGCTTGAACCTGGGAGGCAGAGGTTGCATGAGCTGAGATAGTGCCACTGGACTCTAATCTGGGTGACAAAGTGAGACTCTGTCTCAAAAAAAAAAAAAAAAAAAAAAAAAAGATGTTGCTAAAATGCTCTCCCACAGAAGTACCAATTTACAGTCTTGAAAGAAAGTCACGGCATGGAGTACAATCATTTCTCAAATTTTTGAGACAACTGTTGGTATTCTAAGACATTTTAACTGATGCCAATCTGCGAGATGGAAAGTGGTGTTTCAATACATATCTTAATATTGCCCTAATAAGGCAACACTAATACTAGTGAGGTTAAGCACTTAGCTTAACCTCTTAATGTTTCCTGGCCATAAATTTTCCTTTTTTGGGAGGTATAAGCAGAGTAGAATTTTCAGTAGTCTCATCGTGCTATGGAGAAAATATAAGGGCAGGAAACCGAACAGACATATCAGACTACTGGCCGAAATTTCTGGAGGGTTATAACCCAGTGACAGGGTCAAATTAGAGACAGACAAAGCCCACCCAACCTACTGTAAACTAGGCCCAGATTCCTTATTGGATTAAGGTAGTCACTCTCCAACTCTACCTACTAGTGTATCAAAAGGTGCACAATCTGATTATTCATCAGGGAAACAAATTAAAATCCAAGTGATAGCATTACTTATTTGCCTGAATGGCTAAAATGAAAACCCAGATGTAAGGTCTGTGGAGCAACTAGAATTCTTTCATACTACTGGAGGAATTCATATAACTACTTTGGAAAACAGTTTGGCAAAACTAAAGGTATGTACATACTCTACTAAAACTGAGTATGTACATATCATATGACTCGTCAATTTGACTCCTCATATAAACCCAAATGAAATGCATACGTTTTGTTCCATGAAATGCATGAGGGAAAAAAAAATGCACTTCTACTGAACACATACAGACTTTTTTTGTCTGGATTTGTTTCTAAATAGTACAACTATTTATATTGTATAAGTTATTATACATAATCTAGAGATGCTTTAAAGTATATAGAAGGATGTACATGTTATATGCAAATACTACACTATTTTATTACTTATTTTTAGAGACAGGGTCTTTCTCTGTTGCTTAGGTTGGAGTGCAGCGGCAGCATCATAGCTCACTGCAGCATTGACTTCCTGGGCTCAAGAAATCCTCCCACTTCAGGACTACAGCAGTATGCCATCATACCTGGCTAACTTTTAATCTTTTTGTTGAGAACAGGGTCTTGCTGTGTCAACCAGGCTGCTCTTGAACTACTAGCCTCAAATGATCCTTCAGCCTTAGCCTCCTAAAGTACTGGTATTATAGGCATAAGCCATTGCACCTGGCCTCTTTTTACTTATTTAATGTGACTACTGGAAAATTTTATTTATCTTTCATCATTTACTTATTACTTATTATTTATTTATTGAGAGATGAGGATCTCCCCACGTTGACCACACTAGTCTTGAATGCCTGAACTCAAAGGATTCTCCCACCTCAGTCTCCCAAAGTGCCAGAATTATAGGTGTAATCCACCGCATCCAGCTTATGAGAAAATTTTAAATCACATGTGACTGGCATAGTCTTTCTATTGCACAGTATTATTCTATACTGTTTAAAAGATAAAGCAATTCTTTTCCAATTTTCTTTCAGTTTTCCTCATTCTATATAAACAGTTCTAAAATTCTATGGCTGTAATTTAAACAATTACCGCGTAAGAATTTGGATCACCAAATATTCTTTCAAAGACTTCTTCTGCTTCCTTAAAGTTGCCGTTTTCCATACAAACAGCTATAGCCTAAAAGATGAAAAATAGCAACCTCAGACTACATTTAAAAATATCTAATAGTTATTTAATTATTAAAATAACTCAGAGAAGTCTGAAATCCTTTACTGAAAACATTTTTATGTACTTTAATAATTTTAATTTGATAAATGATACAAACGCTTTTTAAAGACAAAGTAAGTGTGGCTTGAAATGACATGAAAATATTGCATTGGTCCCATGTACCTTTACTCATAAATGCCCAGAATTCTATCTCTGATTTAGACCAAATTAAAAGTATGTGTTAATAAATAAATTAGAAGGACCATGTACATTTAGGACCAACCTAAATACTAATTTTGAGTAAAAGGAAAATGAGGAGGTAAATGATGTTTGTAATAATTAGGATACATAAAATTTGCTAGTCAGAATTTCTGGAAAATTTCTAATACAAACGTAAGAAGCTAGATGTTTTCGAATGACCATTTTTTTCCTGCATTTTTGGTAACATGGTAAGACAGGACCACCATTACCATCTGAGTCGCTATGTAAATTTGGTAAGCCACTTAACTTCTTGGTGCCCCAATCTTACATGTAAAATGGTGGAAACAACAGTACCTATTTCATAGGATTGTTATGAGGATGTAAGAGTTCTATGTGAAAGAGTTTAGAACAGTGCCTGGCAAACAGTAGGCAATATATTAAACGTTTGTTATAAACTTTGTTGCCCATTCAACTTTATAGTAGTGTATTAACAAAGACTTGCTTCCTCTAGCGGCCCAAAAGACTGTAATAATGTGACAAAACTCTTTGCGCTGGGTTGAACTCATAAAGCAAGCAGTCGTTTTTCTACCCATTTTCTTCTCTTCAGGCCCTAATACTACTTGACAATCACCACCCTAATTCTTGGGAAGGTGGGGAACGCCCTGGATTTTCTTTTCTATCCCGTAAAGAAATTTTTTAAATTCTCAAAAGAGAAAAAGTTTATTTAACTAAGAAAGTACCTACTATTTGCTTTGACTGCTAGCTATTATATCTTTGACTGACTTTTTTGGGCTACTCACTGTCTACTAAAATTCTCCCTATATGGTTAAAATTTTATACACTCTTCATCATAAAAATCTAAAATTTACCATTAATGAAAAATATTATCTACTTTTTTCATAATCTTTAAATATCAACTGGGAGAGCACAAACCCCTGCTTTTAAAATTTTCCACAACATGGAAGCAACATATACTTAAGTATGGAACATTAAGTTCCAAACCCCAGTGCTCATGTTAAGACTATAAACCAAAGGTCAAATTTCTGAAGAGAAAGAATATATTAGCCGGGTGCTGTGGCACACACCTGTAGTCCCAGCTCTTAGGGAGGAAGGGGTGGGGGGATACCTTGAGCCCAGGAGTTCGAGACCTTGCCTGGCAATATAGTGAGACCCTGCTCTCCACAAAAAGGAAAAACAAAAACCAAAAAGATAAGAAAGAATACCTTAAATTTTACTATTGCTCAACTTCCACTAGGTTCCTCTTAATTTCTTTCAGGTGTTACATGTTCTTATTTTCTAGCAATATAATAATTATAAGCATAAAAGTAATTTATTCATACCTGAACTTCAATTAAATTCTGTATATCTTCGTGAAGTTTGTCATGCTCCTTTTCAATTGAACCCCAAATCAACAGGGCTGATTCCAAGGGTGTAATTCGTTCATCATTTTCAAACTGTGCATCTTTTAAAAACAAAACAAAAATAAGTAGCTCAGAAAGCTAAGTAGAACTTTGTCAGTTTTTAATAGTGCATTTCTTTAAATATTTACAGAGCGTATACTATGTACTAGGTATTCTTATTGTTTATACTAGTTTAGAGAAGTGATTTTATTTTCTACGTTAATTTGCTCATTAAGATCAATTTCAAATGGAAAAAGGTTGATGAAATTAAAAACATTTGAAGATTTGCTTTAGAAAAATATGAACTTTAAGAACTAAAGTAAACTATTTTACGTAACATGTCACAGCAACAGAATTCTTAAGTGGTTCCTAAGTCCAATACATAACAAACCTCAAGATAGGCCAGTTTTTTTCACCTACATAATAGTGACAAGAAATACTATCTCATAGAATTTATGTGAATATATAACGAGTTAATAGTTTACTCTTATTAAGCTTTCCTAAAACAATTGTGATCAAGTTATTTGTAACAAAGACTCACAACAGCTGATAACTAATTAGCAAATTACACACCAACAACCCATTCAGACATTCAAGAACCTTCACTATGATGTCTTACATGGCTAGCACCTACAGTCTACAATTAATTCAATAAATATTTATTGACCACTCACTATATATACATAGGCAGAAACATGGAAGTGGAAGACACTCCCAGAAATGTGGGAGTGTCTTGGCCAGGTGCGGTGGCTCACGCCTGTAATCCCAGCACTTTGGGAGGCCGAAGCAGGTAGATCACAAGGTCAGGAGTTCAAGACCAGCCTGGCCAACACAGTGAAACCCCATCTCTACCAAAAATACAAAAATTAGCTGGGCATGGTGGTGCATGCCTGTAGTTCCTGCTACTTGGGAGTTGGAGGTAGAAGAATCGCTTGAACCCAGGAGGTGGAGGTTGCAGTGAGCAGAGATCCCACTGCTGTACTCCAGTTTGGGCAACAGAGATTCATCTCAAAAAAACAAAACAAAACAAAACAAATACTTAGAGTGTCTCAGTAAATAAGACAAAATCCCTCCTGATGCTTAATGCTAATGGGAAAGACAATAAATTAGTAAGTAATACAATTTCAGAGTAGCAGGGGCTAGAAAAAATAAAAAAGGTACCGGAAATGAAGAATGGTAGGGGAGGGGAAAGCTCTTTCAGACAGGTTAAAGGCAAGGAAGTTACAGTGGAGCTGAGACAAGCATAATGTGAAGCAGAAGGAATAGTCACACAAAGATCTGGAGGAAAAACATTCCAGAGGGAATGGCAAGTGCAAAGATTCCAAGGAGGAGTTTGATGTTCAAAGGGCAGAAAAAGCTAGATGGGGGCGTGCGTCTGTAGTCTCAGCTGCTCGGGAGGCTGAGGTGGGAGGACTGCTTGAGCTAGGAGTTTGAGGTCTCAGTGAGCTATGATGGTGCCACAGGACTCCAGCCTAGGTGAGAGCAAGACCCTACCTTGAAAAAACAAAGGGCAGGAAGAAGGTAAGTGGGCAAGTTGGATGCATTCTATTAGAGAGATGATGGAAGAGGTAAGCAGTTATCTGTTTTGGAACTTATTTTGTATGTAGAACAGAACTTGCTAATGGATTGCATGTGGAGCATGAGGAAAAGAGGACTTGGGTTTTAACAACTGGATAAATCGTGCTGATGTTTACTATCATAGGAAGCCTGGGTGAGGACCAAGTTTATGAAGTTGTATATGGAAATCAAGAGTTCTATCTAGGTAAACCATGGTTTATTTTCAAAATAATGTTAATGATTTCATTTTGCCTCGACTACCTTTCCTCCCAATGTCCCCCTCCCCATATCTGAGGATGTCGCCAGAACTGTTTTTATACTTTCTGACAAAACCCAGCAATTCTTACAGTAATAGCACAAAATTCACCTCTTTCTTGAATGCTGCCCTTACCCCAACAGCTAAGAGACTAGGAAATGTCCTTTCTCTACATCTCCTGTATGTGCTTGCTTTGGCAGCACATATATAAAGATTAGAAGAATGCAGAGATTAGCATGGCCCCTCCACAAGGATGACACACAAATTCCTGAAGTGTTCCATTAATTAAAAAGAAACTCAGTCAGGCATGGTGGCTTATGTCTGTAATCCTAGCACTTTGGGAGGCCAGGCGGGAGGATCACCTGAGGTCTGGAGTTTGAGACTAGCCTGACCAACAGGGAAAAACCCAGTTTCTACTAAAAATACAAAATTAGCCAGGTATGGTGGCACATGCTTGTAATCCCAGCTACTCGGGAGGTTGAAGCAGGAGAATTGCTTGAACCCGGGAGGTGGAGGTTGTGGTCAGCTGAGATCATGCCACTGCACTCCAGCCTGGGCAACAGAGCGAAACTTTGTCTCAAAAAACAAAAACCAAACCAAACCAAACCAAACCAAACCAAACCAAAAGGCCAGGCACACTGGCTCACGCCTATAATCCCAGCACTTTGGGAGGCCAAGGTGGGTGGATCATGAGGTCAGGAGTTCAAGAATTAGCCTGACCAAGATGGTGAAACCCTGTACCTACTAAAAATGCAGAAATTAGCTGGGTGTAATGGCGGGCGCCTGTAATCCCAGCTACTTGGGAGACTGAGGCAGAGAACTGCTTGAACCTAGGAGGTTCAGTGAGCTGAGATTGAGCTGCTGCACTCCAGCTTGGGTGACAGAGCGCGACTCTGCCTCAAAAACAAAACAAAACCAACTCATATCATTATACCTTTTTTAATGCCTTGTAGTACTTTATATTTACCTCGACAACACTATTCGCTTTCTATAATGCATAATATGTCAAATTTTAGGGGGCTGGAGCCACTTACTATTTTTCTAAACCCCTATAGTTCCTAACAGAGTTGTAGTTCCATAGCAAGTACACATCAAGTAAGAACTATAAAGAGAATTTTAGCCGGGTGCGGTGGCTCAAGCCTGTAATCCCAGAACTTTGGGAGGCCGAGGCGGGTGGATCACGAGGTCGAGAGATCGAGACCATCCTGGTCAACATGGTGAAACCCCGTCTCTACTAAAAATACAAAAAACTTGCTGGGCGCAGTGGCGCGTGCCTGTAATCCCAGCTACTTAGGAGAATTGCCTGAACCCAGGAGGCGGAGGTTGCGGTGAGCCGAGATCACGTCATTGCACTCCAGCCTGGTTAACAAGAGCGAAACTCCGTCTTAAAAAAAAAAAAAAAAAAAAGAATTTTAAATACCACATTCTTTTTTTCTTGAAAAACTAGAGTGAGCATGCAGTTTAAATATTAGTTTAAAATATTTTTACTTTAGGAACAATAGCTTTTCCGAGTTGATGAAAAAAATATTTTTACTTTATTTCCTGTTGTCCTCTCCTAATTGTTTTCCCAACATTTTAGATATAAAAATATGCCGGGCGCGGTGGCTCAAGCCTGTAATCCCAGCACTTTGGGAGGCCGAGGCGGGTGGATCACGAGGTCGAGAGATCGACACCATCCTGGTCAACATGGTGAAACCCCGTCTCTACTAAAAGTGCAAAAAATTAGCTGGGCATGGTGGCACGTGCCTGTAATCCCAGCTACTCAGGAGGCTGAGGCAGGAGAACTGCCTGAGCCCAGGAGGAGGAGGTTGCGGTGAGCCGAGATCGCGCCATTGCACTCCAGCCTGGGTAACAAGAGCGAAACTCCGTCTCAAAAAAAAAAAAAAAAAAAAAAATTAAAAAAAGAAAAGAAAAGGTTATCCAGGAAACAACTAAGATGTACTGAACAACTGCTACGTGTAAAGCACTGCCAGGCACTTTAGAATATTTTTCTACCTTTAATTTAGAAAACAATCCTGTTAACAACAGTGTCAACTTACGGTGTACATGGTCTGCAATTTTGCTCCAGCCTGCTTCTTCTCCAGCAACTGGCCCAGGCCTACTTACAGCTCTGTCTCTTTCACAACTACTCTGCGTCTATCTAGGCACCAACTCCAGACCTACCCTCACCCCCAAACAAAGCAGACTATATCAGCCAGAGCTACTTGAGTGAGGGCCTTGACAGTGGTGCTAATACACTGGGATTTTATGTAAGACAACACTTTGATAAGCAAGTGGTTTTATGTAAGTATTGCCCACTACTCAGGATTGTTGGAAAAGCATTTTGTAAATTATAAAAACCAATATAAATATAAAATTATTTGCATCAAATAGCCTTTTAAAATGACCATGTTGTAAATATCAGCCATTACTGATAAACTGAATCAGCCTTGCCCATTACAATTTAAAATGAACTACGGAGACAAGGGAGAGAGATTACAGCTATAAACTGTACTTCTTTACATAAATAAGTGCTGGCATCAAGTTCAAGTAAGAGATTTCAAATATAATAGTTGCCCGTAAAAAACAGTGTGTATGACTGGAGTCACCACAAAGTTACCAAATAGTCAATCAAACACATTGCCCCAACAGTAGCATCAAAATCACCTGGGAATTTATTAGAAATGTATATTTCAGAGCCTCATACCCATCCTACTGAATCTGAAACTCATGGGAAGTAGTGAGACTCAGCACTATGTATTTTTTAAATAAGTCCTTTAAGTAATTCTGGTGCAGGCTAAAGTTTGAGAAACAATGTTCTAAGAAGACAGGGACTACATTTCTTTTACTTGTTTTAGATATGACTGTATGTGTATACACGTGTACACATACACACACACACAACCCCCTATGCACCAGACACTTGTAGGCAAACTCCCCCCAAAAACATCTGTTTCTTCTCATTGTCTTACATTTAGATGCAGATTGAAGTATTTCCAACATAAAATAAAAACACATATTTACCAAGGTTTTTTCCTGCTGCAATTCTTGTCAAAAACTGACATATGTATACAGTTCTCAACTGATAAGCTGTTAGACTGGATAGTCCATGAATAATAGCTAAAAAAGAAAAAAAGTGAATTTTATTAAAATCAAATTTGATCCAGTAGTGCCTCTGTGTGGTTTGTTCAGCAATAGGTTACAAACATGTAAAAATTATCATAAATTTAGTGGTACATTTACAATCTGATTAAAAATCAGAACAAAACAAGAATAAGAATGAACACATTTCTTAGAAAATACAACTTTTACATGCAGAATAAAAATTGTTAAAAATTCTTTCACCAGTAGTAGTCTACATTAACAAAAAAGATTTACATACGAATTGTAAAATGTGTAAAATCATTGGTTGGAAATTTACACCTAGAAACTCTCCATACAATAGAATCTATTTTATATTATTTCTATCAAGGTTTCAGTTAAGTGAGTCTGTTTAGCTTACAAAGCTGTATTTTAAAACATATTAATATTAACCTTCCCAGAACTTGAATGCCCACCCAGATGTTGAGTCAAGCAGTGAATACATACAATATGGAGTAAGCCATACTCTCGGACCACAGTGAGCTTTTTATCATGCAGCAATGAGAGATAAACAATTGAGCTACGGTAAAAACGTGGTGAAAACTTTAAAAATTAAGACAAGTGCAGAATGCTACGGAAGCACATAACAAAAAAATCTGTGTGTTTAAGTATCTTTTGCACAGATGAGGTGTCAGGGAAGGCTTCTCTGGAGAAATCATGTCTAACCTAAGACCTGAAGGTGCTACTACTAGCATTACACCTAACCCAGGGCTTGGCTGGTGTATATAAAAAGCTTAAATAACAAATTGAAAAGCAGTTCTGTAGCAATTAGGCATATAAGGCAAATGTATTTTTACCCAATTTCCTCCAATTCTAACATAATCTTATGCTATACCAGAGATTAGAATTAACAGGATTTTGGCCGGGCACGGTGGCTCAAACCTGTAATCTCAGCACTTTGGGAGGCCAAGGTGGGTGGATCACAAGGTCGAGAGATCAAGACCATCCTGGTCAACATGGTGAAACCCCATCTCTACTAAAAAAATACAAAAAATTAGCTGGGCATGGTGGCACATGCCTGTAATCCCAGCTACTCAGGAGGCTGAGGCAGGAGAATTGCTTGAACCCAGGAGGCGGAGGTTGCGGTGAGCCGAGATCGCGCCATTGCACTCCAGCCTGGGTAACAAGAGTGAAACTCCGTCTCAAAAAAAAAAAAGAATTAACAGGATTTTAAGAGAGCACAAAATTTACATAGAGTTTAAGCACAAGCCATTCAATATTTACTAAACATCTACTGCCAGCTTGTATTAGGAGCTGGTGACTCAAGATAGCCATTCCCTGCCCTCATGAAAGTTTTAATCTGAGAAGACATAAATTAAACCAAAAGTTATATAAGTACCTAATTAAAATTTTAATGAGTACCACAAACAGTTGCAGGTATACTTCATTTTATTGCACTTTGCATACAGCAAGTTTTTTATAAATTGTAAGTTTATGGCAGCCCTGCTTGAGCCAAGACTGTTGGCACCATTTTTCTTTTTTTTTTTTGGAGATGGAGTTTTGCTCTTGTTACCCAGGCTGGAGTGCAATGGCGCAATCTCGGCTCACCGCAACCTCCACCTCCTGGGTTCAGGCAATTCTTCTGCCTCAGCCTCCTGAGTAGCTGGAATTACAGGCACGCACCACCATGCCCAGCTAATTTTTGTATTTTTAGTAGAGACGGGGTTTCACCATGTTGACCAGGATGGTCTCTATCTCTTGACCTTGTGATCCACCCGCCTCGGCCTCCCAAAGTGCTGGGATTACAGGCTTGAGCCACCGCACCCGGCAATTTTTTAATTTTTAGTAGAGACAGCGTTTCTCCATGTTGGTCAGGCTGATCTTGAACTCCTGACCTCAGGTGATCCGCAATTCTCGTGCCTCAGCCTCCCGAGTGGCGGGGATTACAGATGTGTGCCACGACGCTCGGCTAATTTTTGTATTTTTAGTAGAGATGGGGTTTCACCATGTTGGCCAGGCTGGTGTCAAACTCATGACCTCAAATGATCCAACCGCCTTGGCCTCCCAAAGTGCTGGGATTACAGGCGTGAGCCATTGCATCCAGTCAACAACAGATTTTCATTGTAGATGAAACAGCCGCATATTGGAAGATGTCATATAGAATTTGCATAGCCAGAGAGAAGTCAATGCCTAACTTCAAAATTTCAAAGGACTGGCTGACTCTGCTGTTAGGGACTAATGCTGCCAGTGACTTTAAGTTGAAGCCATTGCTCATTTCCCATTCTAAAAATCTTAAGGCCCTTAAAAATGATGCTATTATCTACTCTGTGCTCTAGAAATGGAATAAAATTAGGTGACGGTGCCTCTGTTTACACCATGGTTTACTAAATATTTTAAGCCCATTATTGAGATTTACTGCTCAGAAAAAAAGAGTCCTTTCAAAATATCGTTGCTAACTGATAGTGCATCCAACCAGCCAAGAGCTCTGATGAAGATGTATGTACAAGGAAATTACTGTTGCTTTCATGCCTGCTAACATAACATCCATTCTGCATCCCATGGATCTGTTTTCCCTCCGTCCCAGCCCTACAAATAACTTAGAAATAACCAATCTGCTTTTGGTTCTGTTTTAGCTTCCTTAAACCTTTACTGTCTATAAAGCCAACCCCCAACTGCTCAATTCGTTGAGCAGTTATTTTATGGAATAAAGTATTACCTGAATCTAGAATCATAATAAAGCCAAGTGAGATCTTTAAACTAAATCAGTTGTAACTTTGTCTTTTGACAGGGTTAAGGCTTAAAAGTAGCAGAGCCGCCCCAGCACTCTGGGAGGCCGAGGTGGGCAGATCACCTGAGGTCAGGAGTTCAAGAGCAGCCTGACCAACGTGGTGAAACCCCATCTTTAAAAAAAAAAAGAGGACCAGGCGCAGTGGCTCACGCCTGTAATCCCAGCACTTTGGGAGGCCGAGGCGGGTGGATCATGAGGTCAAGAGATCGAGACCATCCTGGTCAACCTGGTGAAACCCCGTCTCTACTAAAAAAAAAGAAAAGAAAAAACAAAGTAGCAGAGCCAGGAATCAAACCGGGACAATTTATTCCAGAGCCCATGTTCTTAATTGTTATGCTATACTGCCTTCCACGGCATGATTAACAGTCTATGAAAGGTATAATCTGGCTGGCACTGTGGCTCATGCCCGTAATCCCAGCTCTTAGGCAGGCAGAGATGGGAGGACAGCTTGAGCCCAGGAGTTAGAGACCTGCCTGGGCGATATAGCAAGAACCTATTCTCCACAAAAAGGAAAAAAACAAAAAGACAAAAAAGAAAGGTATTACCCGAGATCTGTGAGATATGAGAATAATTCTGAGTTGGAATAAAACAATTAAGAATTTTCTAGAAAGCATGAAGAGTTGTATATTTTTACATTTTTGAAAACTGTAACACTGCAGTCCCAGGTACTTAGGGGGTTGAGGTGGGAGGACCCCTTGAGTCCAGGAGTTCAAAGCCAACTTGGGTACCGAATCACTCAAGATAGGTAACATAGTAAGAACCTGTCTCTTGAAAAGAAAAACAAAAAAACAAAAAAAAAAAGGAAGGAAGGAAAATGTAGTAAATGCAATTCAACAAAGAAATTAAAAAGGGTCCTTAAAAATTAAAAATGGGAACCCCAAAATAACACTATGTTCACAATTTGCATTTTGGCCACTGATTAGCACTATACCCTTAACTTTAAAATAATGACAGTGGCCTAGATTATACCTCCAGTCTTTAGCTACAACTCTGAACATGGGTTTTTTAAAAAAATTTTTTTAAATCTTGGATCTGGGTGTTTTTATGAACAGAGTTTTTTGTTTTTTTTTTTCTTTAAAACAATCAGCTATTTTCTAGAACAGTTTTAAATTGATGTAATTAACATAAAAATGGTAGATAGGTTCCATATACCCTGAAGCAATTTATCTTACTTTTTTAAAATATTTTACATTAGTATGTTGCATTACATTAATGAATCGGTGTTGATAAATTATTATTAACTCAACCCATGCTATACTCAGATTTCCTTCGTTTTTACTTAATGTCCTTTTTGTGTGGCAGGATCCCATTCAGGACATCACATTACTTTTAGTCCTATCTCTTTAGGAGCCTGTCGGCTATTAGAGTTTTTCAGACTTTCCTTGGTTCTGATGATGACATTTTGAGTAATGGTCAGGTATTCTGTAGAATGTCCTTCTGGGATCTGTCTGATGCTTTTCTCATAATTAGATTGAAGTGATGGGATTTTGGGAATAAGACCACAATGATAAAGTTCTATTTTCACTGCAACAAGTGAACATATCATCAACTATTACTGTGGATGCTGACCCTGTTTACCTAGGTGAGGTAGTGTCTGACAAGTTTCTCCACTGTGGAACTTTCTCTCCCTTGCCCCCTTTCTATACCGTACTCTTTGGAAGAAAGTCACTGTGTGCAACCCACACTCAAGGAGTTACGTTCCACTCCTTGAGGAGAGAGTAGCCACATCAAATTATTAATACTTGGAATGTTGCATGCAAGATTTCCCATTTATTCAATTACTCATTCACATCAGTATGGACTCACGTAAAATTATTTTATACTTTAACTTTATAAACTAATACCACTTTATCTTCTTGTATTAGTGGTTCAGCTGTAGCCACTGGGAAGTCTTGCAGATGGTTTCTGTGTCCCTTTCTAACCCGGTCACTGAGGTGTTTCTGTTTCTTTCTTAGCATTTCCTTACTTCCTGACATTAGAAGATGCTCCAGGTTTACCTTGTACATTTCCTGTCCTAGTTCCAGAATCAGTCATTTCTCCAAAGAGCCCTGGTTCCTTTTATTGCAGAATGGTATTAGAAAACAAGATCTGGGTGCAAGATGTACTCATTGTTGCTAGAGTTAGGTTGCTTCTGTGTCCTTTTATCTGACAGAGCAAGGAAATACATGTCTGTATAGTAACCTGTGTCTACACAAGCATATGTAAATAGTTCCAGAGTCATCTATACCTACATGAGCTAAACAGTTCATACTGATATCTCCAACTCTAAGAGAACTTTTTAATAATTCTGAGGAACTAGCTTCATTCCAGGACTTAATTTTCCACTGAATGTTAATTATCCATGACTCCAGTGTTATCTGCAATAGAGGAAAGATCCTTGAACTGGAAGATTAAAGCATGGAGTTGAAACACCCCCTTTTAACCTATCAGTACTTTAAAACTAAGATTATTTGCCTAACTCATAGGATTATGGTGAAATGAAACGTGTCAATACGTCTTTCTGAGAATTCTGTTAAATAGCATATAGTATTATAAACATATACTTGTGCAGTAATTTTAGTGTCAACTCTCAGTGAAGTACTAGAACATCTTTCTGTTATTTTTCAAAAAGCTACGCCAGGCCAGGCGCAGCGACTCACGTCTGTAATCTTACAGCTGCTCGTGGTGGTGCGCGCCTGCAGTCTGAGCTACTCCGGAAGCTGAAGCGGGAGGATCACTTGAGTCTGAGGAAGGTCAAAGCTGCAAAGAGCTGTGATGGCGCCACTGCACTGCAGCCTGGGTGACAGAGTGAGACCTCAACTTGGGGCAAGGGGCGGAAATGTACCTCTAATCAAACATCTGAGCTGGGAGATGTTACACTGAAAAAACTATGCTGGTTCTCTACGGATCTATGTCTTTGTCCATCACTTACAGGCTGTCTAGGCAGATTTCACGAACAGTTTCATTCATTCATTTATTTATTGAGGCTGGGTCTCACTGTGTGACCCAGGCAGGACTGTAGTGGCACGATCTCGACTCACTGCGGCCTCCACCTCCTGGGTTCAAGTGATTCTCCCATCTCAGCTTCCTAAGTAGCTGGGATATACAGGCATGTGCCCAACATTTACTTTTATTCTGAGCCTATACAGAATAAAATTGCTGTAGCAAGCAGCCCAAATGAGGTTTAATATATCACCAATTAACACAAAAACACTGATGGCGGGGGCTGGGGGGGTGTCACTGGAGACCATAATGACTGCTGAATATCACCACCGAATACCTGAGGAGAAGGCACCAAAAAGACAAAGGTACTGGGTTGACTGCAACTGCATACATTTTAAATCATTTAATGCTTGCATCAACCTAAACAGGGTCTTATTTTCATTTTATAGAAGAGAAAAACAATTTGAGAAAAACTCAGGTGCTGACAACGGGCGGAACAGGGATTCGCACAAAGTTCAGCCCAGAGCCTCGGAGCCCCGGCTAATCGGCCGCAGCTTCCCCTCTCTCCCGACCTCCCTCGGCGACTATGGGAACCAGGCCTCTGCCGCGCGCCACTGGGCCCGCCTCCGCCCCACCCGTAGTCCCCAGCCCGGACGCGGTCCGCCCTCACCCTCGGCGCTGTCGCGGGTCTGGCGAAAGTCCTCGGAGCGGCCATCCCGGAAAGCTCGGCAAAGAGAGAGGCAGAGGAAATCGAGCATCCAGCCGGCAGCCACAGCCTCGGCCTCGGCCACAAGGCCCGCATCCTCCTCCTCCTCTGGAGCCCCCAGCTGCACCTGGCACTCGAGCAGTTCCTGGCACTCGAACTGCTCCTCGTCGTCGTTTCTCTCCGTTTCTGCTATCCGCTCCTCGGCAGCGTCGGCATCCCTACCATCCGCACAGCCCCGTGGGCTCGGAGCCGCTGAGGAACCGTCCTCCGCCATGTCAAACGGCTCACGCGGGTACTGCCCCTTTAGGCGCCGAGCAACGATTAGCTAGCACTCCCGGGCGCGGGGCGTGGCTGCGGAGGGTCGCTTCCGCCGGCGGAAACCACCAATCACACCGCCAGGACGGGCGAGCGACTCAAGCCTGGCTTCTGATTGGCCGAGACCTGTTCCTGCCTCTGGGCGTTGAATTTCCCGCCAGTCTGAAGCCAGGACTTTGCACGTAACTGGAGGACTCCGCAGTGAGTGAAGAGTGAGGTTATGCTAGGAGGCAGCTGTATCTTCCTTATTCCTTGTAAAATGCAACCTTGACTGGAACAACAACACAGTTAGTTAAAATGAAAACGCATTTGCCTGCCGCCTATTTCAGAAAGAGGTGGGTAATGAGAACTTGTCGCTACTAGTCAAGTACAACACTTTTAAACCCTAGTATTCGTCTAACGGTTACTACATGATCACGAACCAGAACTATTCCAACTGACTAACATCCGTGCTTCTCCAACCTCAGGATGCCTCAGAATCCGCCTGGGGGCTTGCTAAAACACAAATTGCCGGGCTCCAAGCCCGGAATTCCTGTTCTGTTAGTCTAGCTTGGGGGTCCTTGAACTTGAAAATCTAACGCTACTTGGCAGGACACCACATTTTGAGATCACTGCTCTAGAAAGAGTATACTGCTGTGAAAATGTATCTCAGTCAAGGTTTGAGATCGACTATAGAATGCAGTTTACAGAAAATAATAAGTGAATGTTTATTTTGAATTTTGAAACTTAGCACAAAAGGAGAGTCTAAGTAGGGATGAGTGGTCTGGTTAGTTTTTTGTTTTTTCCTTTGAGCCAGATTTCCTTTGTTGATCAGGCTGCTCTCCAACTCCTGGCCTCCAGTGATCCTACTGCCAAAGTGCTGGGTTTCCAGGCCTGACCCACCAGGCCCGGCTCCGCTTTTTTTTTTTTTTTTTTTTTTTTTTTTTTGAGGTGGAGTCTCACTCTGTCGCCTAGGCTGGAGTGCAGTGGCATGCTCTTGGCTCACTGCAACCTCCACCTCCTGGGTTCAAGTGATTCACCTGCCTCAGCCTCCTGAGTAGCTGGGATTGCAGGTGTGTGCCACCACACCCGTGGTTTATAATTTAGCTTTAAAACAAAGAATATAACAGTCCTTTCCCCAAACAAACCCCCTTCCTGCCTGGGGACTAAACTGCCTTTGCAGGACTAACAAATTAGCTACAAGAAGTTATGGTTTATAAACCCATTATAATTTTTGTATTTTTAATAGAGACAGGGTTTCACGTGTTGGTCAGGCTGGTCTCAAACTCCTGACCTTGTGATCTGCCCACCTCGGCCTCCCAAAGTGCTGGGATTACAAGCCTGAGCCACTGCGCCCGACCTGGCTCCGTTTTCTGTTCCTTGATGCGGGCAATGGTTACATCAGTGTGTTGGCTTTATGAAAATTCACTGAACATCGTTGATGCACTTTTCAGTATGTGTGTCATAATTGAATAACGAGTTTACTTTAAAAGCCCTTGTATGGCCGGGCGCGATGGCTCATGCCTATAATCCTAGTACTTTGGGAGGCTGAGGTGGGTGGATCATCTGAGGTCAGGAGTTCAAGACCAGCCTGGCCATCACGGTGAAACCCCATCTTTAAAAAAAAAAAAAAGAAAAGAAAAAAAAGGCCTTTTGTTTATAATGCATCCAACTCCATCAAATCCTTTCTACCTTTTCACACACTTATTGTTATTGTCTTTAAGGTAGTACAGTTTAAATGTTGAGTAACTAAGGCACTGTATTCTAGTATTAAAAATGCTTACATTGGAATGTTTCCTACCAGTTACTCGCTAGCAGTGTGACCTTGGGTAAATTATGTCTCAGTTTTCTGGTCTGTATATTGTGAATAATAATGATAATACCTGCACGATAAGCTTTTTTGGGAAGATTAAAGGGCCTGATAAATGTAAAGAGTTTAAAACAAAGCCTCAGCCAGGCACAGTGGCTCACTTTGTAATTCCAGCACTTTGGGAGGCCAAGGTGGGAGGATCCTTGGAGCCCAGGAGTTTGAGACCAGCCTGGGCAACATAGTGATATGTTATCTCAAAAAAAAAAAAAAAAGAAAAAAAAAAAGAAAAGAAAGAAAGAGAAAAAAAGAAAGCCAAGTAAATAGTAAGTGCTCAATTAGTATTAGCAGGAAGAGTATTTGTGCTGCCAGGAAAAAGGATGATGCATCAGAAGAGATCTCTGCTTCAGGCTCTGATGATTCCATGGGAAGTAAGTTCTGTTTTAAAATAATGCAGTGAGGCCGGGTGCGGTGGCTCATGCCTATAATCCCAGCACTTTGGGAGGCCGAGGCGGGTGGATCACGAGGTCAAGAGATCAAGACCATCCTGGTCAACAAGGTGAAACCCCGTCTCTACTAATAATACAAAAATTAGCTGGGCATTGTGTCGCGTGCCTGTAGTCCCAGCTACTCAGGAGGCTGAGGCAGGAGAATTGCTTGAACCCAGGAGGCGGAGGTTGCGGTGAGCCGAGATCATGCCATTGCACTCCAGCCTGGGTAACAAGAGTGAAACTCCGTCTCAAAAATAAAATAAAATAAAATAAAATAAAATAATATAGTGAAATGGGGATACTGGCTAAGGGAATAAGGGTTAAGGCACATCATGAACCTAGTATTATAGACTGCATATTTATTTTATCCCTAAATTTACATGCTAACCCTAACCCCCAATGGGATGGTATTGGAAGGTGGTGCTTTTGGGCTGGAGTGGGTTAGGAGAGAGAATCCTGTGTGATTTAAAAATCATCCCTTGAGTAAAATTATATTTCTTGTTCATGGAGTTCATGGAGTAAGACTCACAAGTATAGTTGACTTTATAGTCATTTAATGGGATTGCTCTGAGGGGAGAGATTCAATCTGTTTTGTGATGATTCTAAAATCATAACCTGAAACCAAAGATTGAAGGTTTGGGGTGGCAGATTTGACTTCATATCCCACATGGTTCTTAACCATTCAGGCTTTCCCACAATAAAGTGCTGATTTCTATTGCCAGGTACTGATTTCTCACCCCTAGAATCATTGACGATCCTGTGATCATGATATCTCCCCTGCCAGGTAAGTATACATTTATGATTCTGGATGCCAATAGGCAGAGATACTGTGGAAAGATTCCCATAAAGCCTAGATGACATTCCCCATGCTGTTGCATTTCCCAAGACTGTTTTTGATTTGGACAATTTCCTTTTTCTTTTTTTTTTTTTTTTTAAAGACAGGGTTTCACCATGTTGGTCAGGCTGGTCTTGAACTCCTGACCTCAGGTGATCCATCCACCTTGGCCTCCAAAGTGCTTGGATTACAGGCATGAGCCACTGTGCCCAGCCTCGATTTGGACAATTTCTTGTTTTTTTTTTTTTTTTTTTTTTTTTGAGATGGAGTTTCGCTCTTGTTACCCAGGCTGGAGTGCAATGGCGCGATCTCGGCTCACTGCAACCTCCGCCTCCTGGGTTCAGGCAATTCCCCTGCCTCAGCCTCCTAAGTAGCTGGGATTACAGGCATGTGCCACCATGCCCAGCTAATTTTTTGTATTTTTAGTAGAGACGGGGTTTCACCATGTTGACCAGGATGGTCTCAATCTCTCGACCTCGTGATCCACCCGCCTCGGCCTCCCAAAGTGCTGGGATTACAGGCTTGAGCCACCGCGCCTGACCTCGATTTGGACAATTTCTTAAACAATACTTTGAAATCTGTAAATTTCCTAAATTCTTTTTTTTTTTTTTTTTTTTTTTTTTTGAGACGGAGTTTCGCTCTTGTTACCCAGGCTGGAGTGCAATGGCACGATCTCGGCTCACCGCAACCTCTGCCTCCTGGGTTCAGGCAATTCTCCTGCCTCAGCCTCCTGAGTAGCTGGGATTACAGGCACGCACCACCATGCCCAGCTATTTTTTTTGTATTTTTAGTAGAGACGGGGTTTCACCATGTTGACCAAGATGGTCTCGATCTCTTGACCTTGTGATCCACCCGCCTCGGCCTCCCAAAGTGCTGGGATTACAGGCTTGAGCCACCGCGCCCGGCCAAATTTCCTAAATTCTTAGGTCTACCATATTAAATTATTGTGTTTTAACCTGTATTTTAGTCTATACCATTGCTAATATAAACTAATGGTCTCATTATGAATTATATATATTGCTTTATTTTTGCATTTATAAATGTCTCATCAATATCAAAACTATATATGTACTTTTGAAACATCCTTTATTGAGTACCTATTATGTGAAATGTACCGTGCTAGAATGATGCATGGTCAACATAGAGATACTACTCCTCTCTATAAAGAATTATAGACTGGTTGGGAAGATAAGCAACACACACACACATTGTACATAAACATCAGACTAATGAGTAATGCTAACAGTATACCTAACAGGAGTTTGGTGGAGGTGCAATCACCCAATGGGTTCACCTTGCCTGCTGCCTAGACAGGCTGATTTATCAAGACATGGGAATTGCAATTGAGAAAGAGTAATTCATGCAGAGCTGGCTGTTTGGGAGACCAGAGTTTTATTATTACTCAAACCCATCTCCTTGAAAACTTGGGGACTGGTGTTTTGTAAGGATAATTTGGTGGGTTGGGGACTAGCTGCCTTCTTGCACTGAGTCACTTCCTGGGTGAGGGTCACAAGATTAGATGAGCCTGATTATTGATCTGGGTGGTGCCAGCTGATCCATCGAGTGCAGGGTCTGCAAAATATCTTAAACACTGATCTTAGGTTTTACAATAGCGATTTTATTCCCAGAAGCCATTGGGGGAGGTTTAGAATCTTTCAGCCTCCAGTTGCGTGATGGCTAAACCATAACTTCTTGTAGCTAATTTGTTAGTCCTGCAAAGGCAGTTTAGTCCCCAGGCAGGAAGGGGGTTTGTTTGGGGAAAGGACTGTTATATTCTTTGTTTTAAAGCTAAACTATAAACTAAGTTCCTCCCAAAGTTAGTTTGGCCTACACCTAGGAATGGACAAGGACAGCTTGGATGTTAGAAATAAGGTGGTATCGGTTAGGTCAGACTTCTTTCACTGTAGTTAGTTATGAATTTTG